AATAGATCCAATATAAAAATATTTAACAATTAGCTTAAGCTTGCACAATACATCTTAAATAAATTTTTACCTCCCACATGCTGTAAGGCTAAAATCACATTTTTTTCATTCTTATGCTCCCAACAAGTGTAAACCATAGACCAATAATTAAAATAAACAACTTAATCAATTTTCAAAATAAGGCAATATAACACATTAAAAATTATAAATTAAAATATATAAAAGAGACAGTAGATCTATGTCACTAAGTCTTAGGGACTCCTCCACGCACTGCTCATGGCTCTTCTCCTAAAAATTGTTAACCACATAATGAAACTCAAAAGTTTCAGTAACCAATGTCAATTTATGATAGTGTACAAAACAATTAAATGTGCACTTGCTAAGGGGGGAACAACAGTCATATAATTCCAATAAAAATAAAAGAAATATTACAATGCATAACAAATAACTATCCTTATCTCTCTTCATTAACCTCGGGTCGTAGCCCTCACTTGGTGCTAAATTACCCGACCAAAGGTAGATTAACCCGAACCCTTACAAGCCACCTCCAGTAGGGGCGTACCACGTGACACATAAAGACAACAACAATAGCAACTCTCCCAACACCTCTCATAATAATCAAACAAGATTCATATCAACATTGTAAAATTATATAATAGTATAATCTTCACAATTTTCTCAATTTTCAATAATATTGCATGACATCCTACTTGACAAAAATACTTCAAAATTCATATTCACAATTTCACAATTTTTCCATAAATATAATAAAATAATTTGTCAATATTAATTCATAATTTTCTCAATAATCACCTAATTAATATGAAGCAACACTAATCACAAATTAAAAGTAGGTTACCTCATGGCTTTTTTAATAAATTTTTCCTTAATAATTTCCTTCCACCACAATCTTCACCAACAATATAATCTACAAACAATATATTATTTATAAATATTAGTTTCAATTATTGAAACTAATAAAATGACTCTAATGATAGGATTAGAGAATATAACATAATTTTTAATATCATTCTTAAAACAAATATAGAGTTTGTACCATCAAGTAAAATTTTTAACTTCTCTTTTAGTCATCAATAAACACTAATAAGTTAAAATCAACCTCTAAATTAATTTTTATCATCAAAATTTTCCTTTTCATGTCATAAATTCACACATAAAAATACCCAAAAATTACAAATTGATATGTCAAAATAGCATTTATTATTTTACAAACATTCAATAACAATCTAAACAAGTAAGTAAAAGGATTAGGCTATCTAATTACCTTAATTCTTTTGTTACCAAAAAAGGTTATCCACTGATTTTAGCAAACTCTTTGAACCTCCTCTTGTTCAAAGGAAACCAAACAATGTTAATCTACAATTCCAAACACTAATTGATCAATTTCAACTCTAATACAAAGCACTCAGTCTAAATCTAACTAAACCAATCTCATAACTTCCATCTTTGACATAATCCAAACCTTAATGACCTTCCTAGTTTCATTTAAATTCTATAAAGTCAAATAATACCATGTAACATCTCACATTACTCCCAAACTCTCATTTTGAGCTTAGGGTTCATCCAAACCAAATGGCCCAACTACAAAACACCATAAAATTACTAACCTTAGGTTTATAAACTTTAAACAACTCTCATTAATTTTATTTAAGCCTATGAGTTTAGACCAAATACCCCAAGTCATGGAGTCATCATCAACCAATCTAGAAACCCAACTTAGTCACCAATAGAAATGTGGAGGGAAGAGTGTTGAAGAATAACTAAGGCAATAGCAAGCTCAAATCACACCAAACTTCATGAAAATAGTATGCCCTAGTAGAGGAGTAACGTGCTTCTTCATTTTCTTTTATTTCCTTCCTTTTTCTCCAGCCTAATTGCATTTGATTTAAATTAGTTTTGTCCCGTCCCTCATGGCACATACATCTTGTGTCTGCTATGATAGATGACACAATAGGCTTAAGTTTGAGTTTTCATCCTCTAGTTAGGCCCAATTGGCCTAAACCACTCCCTAGCCTAATTTCAAGGCTACCAAAAATTCAATTAAGCTTATTAGTTATTCGAAAACACCCTTAACTAAATTAATACACCCAATGACTAATTCACCCTTCATTATTTAATAAATCCCTTATTAAATTTTGGGATGTTACACAATATAAATTTTTTCATACCTACAATCAAACCAATAAATGGGATGTTTAGTTTTAACCAATTCTCAAACTAGAATGAGATAGCTTTTCCATCACCTACTTTCTTTCTCAAGCCCTTATTGAATTTTTCCCAAACTTCATAGATACTTTTCCATGTAAAGAAGGAATTTTGTTTTCTCTTCACTACAGGCAAAGGACCATTACCGCATTGATACTTGCTCTTAAGGACTTTCACCTAAAGGGCATTGACTTTAAAAATGAGGCTCCAACACAATTTCATTATGAAGAGGGCTTTACTCTATTTCCTTAAATTTTTAATTCCCAAGCCACCTTCTTATTTAATCTTTGTGACAATATCCAAGCTAGAAGATGAAGCTTCCTACCCTCAACATTCTTCCCCTAAAGGGAGATCTTGCAATCCTTTTCAAGCTGATTTAGTAACTTTTTAGGTAAGAGCATCATTTGGATATGATAATATGATAAGGCTAAAAGAGCTTTTGGCTTTCCTGTGTTTATGCTAAACCTAACTATATCTTAAGGAAACATTTGTGGAAAGCTATAATTGACCTGAGTAATCTTATTTTTAAGGCACAAATGGTTATTGGCAACTTTAATGCCTACATTTCCTTATTTGACAAGTAGGGTGGTTCTACAATCAATGGTGCTTATTCCATTAAAATAATTCAATGAGTGCATCCAAATAATGCTCAACTCTTAGAAGTGGATTTTATTGGGGATATAGATGAAGGAGAGAATTGATTGGGGTTTCATTAATATTAGTGATCAAACTTGTTTCCTCATACAAAAGTATATTGCCTTAACAACGTTGGCTCTAAACATCAACCTCTCTTCATGAGAACAAGCTCCAACAATACTAGAACCAATTTGAACCTCTATTTAAGTGTCAACCCTCCTAGATGCTCAAAGAGGGATTTGTAGATATTGTGAAAGAATCTTGGAACTTTGGTGATTAGTTTGAAAAAAATATAAAAAATTGAATCTAGTTGTACCCAGCGGAATAGGACTAGTTGGGTAACATCCTCGGGAAGAAACAAAACCTATTAAAAAGAATTAAGGGTATGGATTATGCTAGAAGACATAGGGACAACCACCATCTTTCTAAGACTGAAAAAGAACCCTAGAAGATATATAATAGGATCCTTACTCAAGAGAAAATAATTTGGTACCAAAAGTTTAGATGTAATTGGTTGAAATAGGGTGACAAGAATAGCAAGTTCTTCCATGCATATACTTTATCCAAAAGAAGAAGGAATGGAGTTGACGGCCTCAAGAACTCAAATGATATATAGGTGTTTAATCACAAGAACTGAAGGTTATGACTATGGATTTTTATAAACATCTCTTCAGAAGCAACTTGATAGTTGAATTCTTTAAGTACCACTAATGTCTATCCTTATTATATGAGTTGATAAAAATATTCTCAATGCTAAGGTTATTAAGATACACGAAGCCTTGTTTGACATGGAACCATTTAATGCCCCTAGACTAAATGACATTCATACATTTCTTTACTAGGACGATTGGAACATTATTGGTGATTCAATCTACAACTTCATCAATGAAATTTTTGAAGACCTTGTGATTTACTCTCTTAATAGCACTCATCTAGTTTTAATACTAAAAGTGGATAAACTTACAGTCATGAAAGACTTCTAGCCAATCTCTTTCTACAATGTAAGTTACAAAGTTGTTTCTTAGGTGATCACACATATATTGAAAGGCCATATGGATAAGCTTACTAGTAACCATTAGTGTTGCTTCATTATGGGGAGATAGAACTATGATAATATCATTATTGTCCAAGAAGTCATCCACTCAATAAAGAATAAAAGAGGGAGTAAAGAGATGATGGCGATTAAAGTGGACTTAGATTAAGCTTATGACTGATTAAAATGGTCATTTATTCTTGACACCTTGAAGCTATTGGCTTTCATAAGAAGATTCAAAATGTGATTATGGCATGTATTCAAAGCCCCTTGATACAAATCCTTTAGAATGGTGAACCTATTGATACTTTTAGGATGTCTAGAGGAATTAGGTGAGAGTATCCTATCTCTCCTTATATATTTACTCTATGTATGGAAATACTCAATCATATTATCCATGATAAGATCAATAAGGAGAGTGGGAAGCCTATCCATTTGAACAGAAGTGGCTCCCAATTATCACATCTTTTTTTTTTTGTTTTGGCCAATGACTTGATCTTCTTTGGACTTGGCTTCTCTCCATTTTCTTATCTTTCCATTTTCTCTCCACTTTCCATCGAATCATTGAATTTATTTTTAAATGGTTGGAATCTAATTTTAATTTTATGAAACATTAGATGTCAATTATTCAAAAATGGATTTAATGGTTGCGATAGAAAGTAGAGAGGAAATAAAAAAGAAAAAATGGAGAGAAGCCAATTTGATCCTCTTTGGGATAGCTTTTATTGATAAGTAAAAATCATGATGGAATGTACTTATTACTTTTGTGCAGTTTCAAGTCAAAAGATGAATAATTATAAGACCAAAATGTGTTTTTAAAAAAAATGTGAATTTCTATATAACTATGGAGATGAGTAAATGGGTGTTGGCTTAACTAGAGATTAGCAAATATTTGGGAATTCCTCTTATTTACAAAAAAAAAAAAAAAGTTTCATATGTTCTCTTTACTTCAATATAAAAACTCACACAAAGTTGTCAAGCTGGAATGGCAAATTCTTTTGCAAAATAAGTTCCGAGAAACATCCTAGTTATGGACCTAATTGATATAATAAATTAATCAGAAATAATAAAAAAAAATCAACGGTCTCGTTTGAGGAGTGGATTAAATTCTTGCAAGCCGATGGCTGCAAGTCACTTCCCCATCTAAGATTCCGTTCACTTTCTTCTCCCGTTACGATGGAGATAGATTCCCTTCCCAATGGCGGCAGCACCGCCGCGACGGCCACCACCGGAACTGCCGTGACTTCTGCCGCCGTCAACAACGCCGCCGCACCTCCTCCGTCCTCACAGCTTAGCCAACTCACCGAGTCTTTGAAGCTTGAGCATCAGTTCTTGAGGGTCCCTTTCGAACACTATAAGAAGACGATCCGTGCTAATCATCGCATCATCGAGAAGGAGATCTCCTCCGTCGTGTCTAGCGTCTCCAGTGTTGCCGATAGTGACATATCCCGTGATGACGCAGTCAACCAACTGAACTCCCTTGTCTCCAGGCTACAAGGGCTTAAGAGGAAGGTAAGTGCAAAACAAAATTATTTATTTGAATTGTGACAGTATGCTTATGCTCATTCAGGCAATTTATCTTTGCTGTCTTCAGTTGAAGTTAATTGTTCTTTTTTTTTTTCCTTCAGATGTTAATTGTTTTTCCCTTCACACAAGTTTTTGGTTGCAGAACTGAAGATATTTATTGATATTTTGTGGGTGTATCAGAGGGAGGGATATTTATGAATTTTAGTCGTTAATTTTGATTGCATTTCGTTTTGCTATTTTGGTTGACAAACGAAGTAATGTGTGATCAGCTTTCGAGCTAAAAATGTAGTTATTGTTTAATATTCGATGAGGTATTTGGATAGATAAGTTTAAAGACATTAAGACATCCCATAATTTTTTGCATCATGAAGGCCACTGACATTTTTTGGGTCTGATGTATTTGATATTTCTTTTCAGGATGCATTGCGGTTGTCTTGCATTCACAGTTTATAGCAAACTCATTCTCCCATTTTTTCAGTTTGCCAAAGTGAGGATAGTTATTGCACATTTTACATTATATCAGTGAGAGGGATAGTTTTGATGCATTATTTGTGTATATAAGTTTAAAGATGACCAAGATCTTTTATGCATCATGAAGGACGCTGGCTTTTTCTAGGTGTGATGTGATTGATCTGTTGTGAAAAAATTGATCTTCCTTTTCTGGAAGTGTCATGGCACGTGTTTTGCATTTGCAGTTTTCCTACCAAATGATGTATTTACATTCCTATTGATTGTCTCGTGTTTATTTTTTTCTCCATGATTTTCGTATAACAACATCTTCAGTTGGAGGAAGGAAGTCGAGCAGAGCAACTGCAAGCACAAAGATATCGAGTGCGTATTGGTCACTTAGAATCTGCTGATGCAGAAAAAATATCAGAATGGAATGACACACGTCTGAAGAGGATTTTGGTGGATTACATGTTGAGAATGTCATATTATGATACAGCAGTTAAACTTGCTGAATGCAGCAATTTACAGGTAAATCTTGTGAATTTTGTTTCGTTCCGTGAAGGTTTTTTCCCCCTGTCTTAAAATTGGACTTTCTGTTTGTCAAATGGCTGTTGACTTCTTGAGGATTCTTTGAATATTCCTTGGTGCTTTTGTCAAGCAAATGATGGTTTCCCAAACTCTAATTTTTCAATTATCAAGCCAATTTATTCTACTTTGGACCTGATACCAATGCCATTCTTCTTTATGCATCAGGATCTTGTTGATATTGACGTGTTCCAGGAAGCAAGAAAGGTTATTGATGCTTTACAAAATAAGGATGTTGGACCTGCTCTAACCTGGTGTGCTGAGAACAAATCAAGGTTGAAGAAGTCCAAGGTTCATACTGCTGTTTATCAATATCTGGTGGATTGATGAGTTTATTTATATGATAATCCTTTAATTTAATTTGAGATATTGTATCTTTGCTCTTGTATTTCTTAAAGTGTTGAGAAAGGAATTTATCCAATGTCTAACTTCATTTGCAACCTTCAGTAAAGCCCAAAGAGATTTCACTTTCAAGCCAAGATCCTTGGAAAAGACATCACTGTAGAAAATTTGTCTCTGTTAGATGCCATCCTGTTTAAGAGGACTGGTTATTGGTAGGTCTAAAGGTTTCATCACGCTATTATTGAAATCACCTCCTTTTGTTACGAGGATCCTATCTGAAAAGCTCTGCTACGGTACTACTTTAGGTAGTTTGAGCTCATTACATCTGCTACAGTGCTACCTAAGGCAATCTGAAAAGCAAGATATAGGACCTTTACTTGATCGTCTTCTTCAAGCATATTTTTCCAGAATTGAGACCAATTTTATGGGATGTGTTTTACTATAAGAGCTCAGCATTATGCTGCTGCTTTCTTCTAACTCTTAAAGTACACCATCAATGTTTGCTTCCGATGGAACTTCTTTGTTATTATTATTATTATTATTATTATTGTTATTTGAAGAGATGGGGCAAGAGCTCTGTGATGGGAAATTATGCAAAACTTATTGGAAGTGTAGGAACCAGAGTTTAGAGATATTTTCAATTTACATATTCTCTAACTCTAATCCTTATCTACATACCAGTTGAAGAATTTCAGTTTATCCAATGATTTTGCTCTGCTAATTTTTCCTCCCTGTCCTTCTTTCCCTTTTGTTTCCCCATTCCCTTGACTATTCTAAATCACTCTGTATCTGTTATTACCAGGTAAATAGCAATGGTTTTGGAATTCATTGGAATTATATGTTTTAAGCACTTGATGATAAAAATTCATGTCAACAAATTGCAATGCCTGATAGTGTGAAACTTTGGCCTTGTTAAATTGAAAGAGAAAGTAACTTATCATAAGTCATTATATTTGACCATAAACTACATAATTTTCTCACTAACTTAGCTCTACTTTGTTAGGGACTCTCTCAAACACTCACAATATAAAGGCAGTTAACTATACATGGAATGCTGTAGATAAGTCAGGAGAGATTTTGACACCTCAGAGTGGCTTGACCATGGCTTAAAAATAAAATAACAGTTTGCTTTTTTTTGTTTTTGCGGTTAAAAAAAATTAATTGTTGTCTTGTATCTATTATATCTGCCACCGCCTTCTATTGAAGGTAGGTCATATGCCATGGTATTTGATATACAAATGCAGACATTAGGTTTTTGTCATATTATATTGAGTTAGATTGGTTTTATTGACAACAGAGCAAATTGGAGTTTCAATTAAGACTTCAAGAGTTCATAGAGTTGGTACGGGCTGAAAATAATTTGCGAGCCATCACATATGCTAGGAAATATCTTGCACCTTGGGGAGCCACTGACATGAAAGAATTGCAGCGGGTTATGGCAACCCTGGCCTTTAAAAGAGATACTGAATGTGCTACATATAAGGTAAACCTTGTCTATCTAGTATTTGTGCATGTTATTACACTAATAGTATTTTAAATTTTTAATTCTGCCATGTTAGGGGAATTTTCAGTGTTTGATTAACGGGTGCATCTTTTGAATTTTGATTTGTTTTATTAGAATTTGATTGGATTGAATGGATAAACACCATATATCAATATTAGAGTATTGATTTGAAAGTTGAAGATGCCACTCCTCTCTTTTTCTTTGTTTTGTTGAAGGTGGGAAAATATTTGCATTTTTTTTTCTAGATGCCAAAATGTGAATGCGTTTTTCAGTTAGATTGTGAACTTCATTTTAAAAGCTTGTTTCTGTCAAGTGCCTATAACTTATTTCTGTTTTAAGAAAGGAGGAATGCGAAGCTTGAAATATACATTATGGCTCTATCTAGTGGATATGAGCTGTGACTATGTTTCTGACCATTCCAAGCTGGTAATAATTACAGTTCACGAAAAACAAGCTTAATGTACTTTCTGTTTTTGGCCAAACAGCTTCTTGTACATAAGCTTTCATATATTGTGTCTATATTCTTTGAGCTGAAATTTCAGTAATCCGTAAAAGCTGTAATTACATTTTCTCAATCCTTTTACAGGTCTTATTTGAACCTAAGCAATGGGATTATCTGGTGGACCAATTTAAACAGGAATTCTACAAGTTATATGGCATGACTGTAGAGCCTCTGCTTAATATCTATCTGCAAGCTGGACTTTCTGCTCTGAAAACTCCGTATCCATTCACATCTCATAGCATCATCCATTTATTACCTTGTCTTCATGTTTGACATTTTTTTGTTTGCTGTTGATTGTTTAATAGAGGCCGGATGGTGGGGAATGTTACCTCTATCTTTAGCCATAGACTATCCAATACATGCATAATTTTTCAAGTTAGATGCTCCTATATTTTCCTTTCGATAGACAGCTATTATAAAGTGCACATGGTATGCAAGTTAGGTTGTTTAATTGAAGAAAGGTTAAAGAAGTTATTTGCAATCATAAAATACCTAATAAACTTAAAGGGAAGTTTTATAGAACTGTTATAAGACTAGCTATGTTATATGGTTGTGAATGTTGGGTTTTAATGGGCTAGCAAGAGCATAAAATTGGAATAGCAAATATGAGAATGTTGAGATGGATGTGTGGGCACACATATAAAGATAAAATCCGAAATAAGCACATGCGAGAAAAAGTGGGTGTAGCATCTATTGAGTGAAAAATGGTAGAAAATCATTTGAAATGGTTTGTTTTGAACATGTATAAAGAACCGTGGGAGGCACTAGTGAGAAGGGTGGAGTGGATCATTTTAAACTCTATTAAGAGGAGTAGAAGAAGGCCAAAGAAAACATTTATGGATGTTGTTGACTGAGACCTCTGAGTTAACACAATATTTCTAAAAGCTTGGTAAATGATAAAGTATAATGGTATCGTACAATCCATGTAACCAACTCCACCTAGTGGAATAAGGCTTGTTGTTGTTGGACTGTTATTATAAAGCCAATCCATCTGAGAGCTTCCTTACTTATTTATGGGGTTTACTTGAAATTACCAGGGTTGTCAATTAAATTGAATACCTTTCATTGGATTGAGTCATTATTTATGTTGTTAGGTATATGAAATCACGAAATCCTCTAAGATTCATAGGCCAAGAGCATTCATGATCTGATGTTTGTCATTATGTAGAATTTTTCATTTATTGTGGGCTGAGAACTAATGTTGGAGAAATCATATTTGACCAATGAGCTACAGTCCATTAAATTTGATTGTCACACGCCAGAATCACTCAAGGTTTTACATATTTAGTCTTGTTACTGCTATGATGATCAAAAGTATGTTTAAATATTTTGCCATAATTCGTCAAAAGTATGGTCCTCACGAATCTTAACTGCTGCTCATTTTTAACCAATGTAATGGAAATTTTCATATTTGTAAACATTGAACCGTTTTTTCTTCTCAAATTAAGCTTTCACCTGATCCTCGGCTGAATTTGGCCTGAATTTTGTCATTGAAGAGCAAAGTAAGAGAACCATAAAATTTTATGTAAAATAAAGCCTCTAGCTGTGTATGCACAAATCACAGGTAACTCTGTTCATGTGATCTTTGACTTGATTAAGATACTGTTACGAGGATGATTGTACAAAAGAGGACCCTCTATCCCAGGAGGGTTTCCGGACGCTGGCGAAGCCATTGCCGTACTCTAAGCAGCATCACTCAAAGCTTGTTTGCTACATAACTAAGGAGCTAATGGACACAGAGAACCCGCCACAAGTCTTGCCCAATGGATATGTCTATAGCACTAAGGTCCCTCTTATTTTATATGTTTTTCATGAATAATTTGTGGTAATTAGGCTAACTATATTTGCTGGTTTTCAGGCTCTTGAAGAGATGGCAAAAAAGAATGATGGTAAAATCATCTGCCCGAGGACTGGTTTGGTTTGCGATTATGCAGAAGTGGTGAAAGCTTACATCTCATGATTCTACATGCTTGAGCTTGTTTAATGACTGTAAGTTTGACGCTTAAGTCCTGCCTTGTACCTCTAAGCTACTCGAGATTTCTGGTGAAAAGAAAAGAAAGGGTCTGGAAAATTATTGTCTCGGACGTGCCATTGTTAACTGCCCGTACATTTACATTTTTACTTCTGGTCTTTGCTTAAACGTGTACATAATTCATGTGTAATCATAGTTTCAAATGTCACTTTGGGAATTACCTGGGACTGTGCATAGATAATTATTGTTCCTGATTGTTCTTTGATGCTTTCTTACCGTTCTTAGTGAATTCTTGTGCCAGACAACTTTTGCTATCGATAACGAAAAGGCAAAAAAGGTTTGTTAGCAATGATTAATGTCATGTTTTTCTTTTGGTATAGTCCAACCCCATGATTTTTTAGAAAATTATTCTTATTAGCAATGATTTAGTGAACTTGTCATGTTTCTTTATGCACGTAATCTGATAAATGAGTTGGATTATTCACAACTTATGAATATTATTGTTCACTATTAAGTTATGTTTTCTATGGATGTTGATATATTGATTACAAAATAGGCTACTAATTTTGAGATTTAGCATAAACCCAGTTCACCAGCCCAACCTGGCCATATTGGGAGGAATAATGGAAGATGAAGAATTGAGGATTAGCTTCTAAGGTATAAAGTGGGGAGAATATTAATGAAGGTCCTCTATAATAATTTAATATCAGATAAGGACTTGTTACCAATAAACATTAACAATTAACAAGTGAAAGTTCTAGTTTTGTTACGTATCCAATCCGTTTAGGTCCTTATCTGATATTAATTCATTTTAGTGGCCCCTCATTGATATTCTCCCTATAAATTTTTGTTTGTTGAATGTTTCTATTGCCGTCTTGGCTTCTAAATGCTGGATTGATTTATTTAATTAATGATTTGTGGTTAATGAAATTAAAGAATAGAGATGGAAGTGAGGAGAGAGTCTAGAGAAGGAGGTAGATGAAATCATAATAAATTAATAATTCATTGGAGTGTGCAAAATGTGTTTCATGGGAATAGAATGTAACAAGAAACTTGGATAAAGATGGAAATGAAAATGGGAAATGTTTTTTGGGCCAGAGAAATTAAAATGAGAAAAAGAAGAATAGGTTAGAATGAATGAGATTTTAAATAACTAGGGAGAATTTAAAATTGGGGAAATTGGAAAAAATGTTTCTCCTTTTATTTAAAGGTGTAAAACTTTTTTTAAGGTCAAAATATAATTAAAAAAGATGTCTAAAATGTTTATTATATGACCTCAATTTCTAGGCCTCTAGCCTTATAAATAGGATTGGGAGAATGATAATTAAGTTTTAAAAAAACAAATTAATAATAGGTTTTGATATTTTTTAAAAAAATAAGTTATAAATATCAATTGAAATAATTTTAAATTTAAGAGTTTTAATTACGAATAAGGTATTTAAATTTTTATGTAACTCTCAATTAATAAATGAAATGTCACATTGATATTTATAATTTATTTTTTAAAAAAATGTGTTAAAAATAAGTTATAAATATCAATTTAAATAATTTTAAGTTTAAGAGTTTTAATTGCAAATAAGGCATTTAAATTTAAATTTTATATATAACTCTATTAATAATCAAAATGTTTATTTACAACTATTTAGATTGATATTTATAATTTATTTTTAAAAAAATTGTTGGGTTTAATTGTCATTAAATTAATTTTTTTGGGATTTTCTTATTTTTTTTCCAATAACATAAGTTATCTACTTATGTGCAATATAAGCAGCATTTTCTGTAATGAGCCCTTTTAAAGATGCAATATTCGATTTTGAGTTCAAATAATGGCATGAGACGACTCATTTGAAGCTATATGATATTAATTTAGAGTAAATGTTTTCAAACTGAAATGCGAATAAATATTAGAAAATAGGATATTAATTTATTGTAAATATTTTTTTAACTGAACTTTGAATAAATATTAGAAAATATTTATTTCATTCACGAGCTATGAAATATAATACCATAAAGAGATGGAATGAAACCATAAAAAACCATTTTTACGAAGCTGTGGATATGTATATATCATGATAATATTTATAACATATCCAATCCTTTGACTTATATATTTAGAGTAGAGATATACATTGGAAATTTGAAGGCTATTTGATGCAGCATATATTATATTTTATTTTTTTTATAAAAAATAGGGCTAAAAGGAAATTTTATTATTAAATTATAAATTCAAGGTGGGACTTACACTCTTTTTTGGTACAATAGTTTCCTTCAACAATAAAAAACAGTGCAATACTGTTGCCTGTTGGTAAAAGATAACTTTAATCGTTTATTGATTAGAAATAATATTAAAAATTATAAATTAATACCTTACTAAAAAAAATTATTGATTAAGTTTTTAAGTTATAAATCAATATCAAAAAACGAATGTTATCTTTTTTCCATGTAAAAGATTAACATTCTATTTTGACCAATCACTTTAATTGGCCACCGGAAATATTGGATCAAACAACAATACTTTTAGGTAATTAAAGTTAATATACTTATGTTAATAATATCTTATTAAAATATCAATACTTTAATAATTAATAATTTAAATATTATTATCTATAAATATTCTGAAAAATTTATAAATATTCTTTTAAAAAGTAATAGCTCAACTAGTATTTTCAAGAATTATAAATAAATGTTTTTTTCATAATATAAGAATTATAAATTAAAATAATATAATTATAAATCTTCATCTAAAATTTATAAGTCTTTCTTATGAAAGTTGCAGCTAGTGTAAACAAATTCACTGTTATGATAATATTTAAATTATTATATATTATATTTAGATGACGTAATTAAAAATCGGGACCAAATAAATTTGAAAATGCATTGCAAGTGCAAGCTATTGAGATTGAAATGAAAATAATTTTATAAGACATATGACTAAAACATCCTTAATAAAAATGAAGAAAGAAAATGTGAATAACTGTTTAACATAATTTATGTAACACTACTTGTTAAATCTCATATATTAATTATTAAATGTGTAACATTACTTTGAGAATTCATCTAGTCTCACATAAATCTGTAACTTGTTAAAAATGCTACATTACTTGTTAACTGAATGTTACGCTTGCACGGGACATTAATTCTCTTAATGATTTGAGGGAAATGGATGGGAACAGAATGGAGGAGATATTTTAATGACTTTTATTTAAAAAAAAAAAAAGGATAGACAAATAGTGTTATAAAAATTTTGATAGAGAAAACATGTAAGAGAAAAAAGACTAGAAATGATCTAGATTCTCTAAAAACTTATCTAGAGATATCAATAAATATAGTTGAAAGTCACATCCACTGAAACTTATATATATATATATATATATATATATTGATCAATGAATTGAAACTCTAAAAGAACTCATCCTCAAATTCCAGATTATGAAAATGACACCGCAAGAGAAAATCAATCTCTTGACAAAAACCCTTTGTATTCAACCATGAAAACAATCCTACAAGTAATCAACTTACAAAGAAATCAATTTTTATTCAATTCTCTTCTCCCCCAAATTAGTTTTCACTGCGTGCCTCTAAATAAGTAAAGGATAATCCTGCTCTAAGTTAAACTCTTTGAAAATCATAATAAAACCCTAATTGAGATACTCACAAGACCTACTTCACTGACACCCAACTAAAAGAAAAAAATAAATAATAAAATAAAAATAATTCTCTTAATTTGACATCTAAATAATATTCTAATTCAAATACAAAAACTATCAAGAGAATTAAAAAATCATTTAAATAATTCAGAATAACTAAACGATCCTTTAAATCTTCCTAATAATTCCTTAAATCCTGGGAGACTCTCTTAAATAATATTACATAGAAAATAAAAAATAAAATGAATAAATTCAAAGCCCTCTTGAATAAGATCTTTTGCTTGCATTCATCTTTGCGCGTAGATTAGAAATTGAATGCTTCATGAACCGCCACTTAAAATACAATTGCCATATGGACCATCATATAGGATGTCACTTGGCATGCCCACTTATTCTCTTCAAATTTTTTTAAAAAAATTAATTTTTTAATCTTTCAACTTTTAACTTATCTGTAACTAAATTTTTTAATTATAACTCACTATGATTCAGTTTCTCAATTGTGATTAGCTACGACTCAATCTCTCAACTTTTGACTCACTTATAACTCAATCTTTAATTTTTAATTTTTTTAAAAATATCCTTATTAAATAATAGGGATAAAAGAAATGTTCATATATTATTCTAAAATACCCTTATCTTATTCTTTAATGTGAGATCTAGGCCAACATGAAAAAAAAGAATTAACAAAAATTGTAGGATTAAATTATAAGTGAGTCAAAAGTTAAGGGACTGAGCTATATGCAAGTCATAGTTAAAGTGATTAAATTATAATGAGTCATAATTAAAAGACTGAGTTATAAATGAGTTAAAAATTAAAAAATTAAAAGATTAACTTTTTTAATTTCATTTATAGTTGAGCTTCTCTCACTTGAGTGATGGCATAAAAAGTGATAGAATTGCCCTCCAAATTTGTATCAAGAAAACAAATTAAAAACTTTTAATCTCATTTCTCCATTTTATTTATAATCGAACTCATTAAAATTTCCATTATCTTCCTTCCATTCTCCTCGAACCAAGCAAAGTATGAAACATATATTTTTGTTGTTTTAGAATTTGTTTCTTCCTTGAAATAGAAACAACTTGTTTTATTTTAAAATTTTCTTCATATGCATATTAAAATTTTTATTCTTTTTTATACATTTATCTCTTTTATTATCATATAACTTATTTTAGAATTTTTCCCTATGCATCTTAAAAATATATAGAACAATTTATTATTTCGAGAGGATGATCCCCACAAAAAAATAAAATTTAAATGGATTTTATTTTAAAATTTATTACCTCATATATAGAAAAAAATAATTATTTATTTAAGGATTTCTTAGCCTTGCTCATATTAAAAATATAAATATAAGACTTTATTTTATTTTATAATATTTCACCAATTACAATAACTTGTTTTATTTGATAATTTATTATTTCATGAGCATTAAAAACTTAAATTAATATTTATTATCACACGCGTCCTATGTATTATAATTTATTTTAATAAAAAATTTATTTCTTCTATGTATATTAAAAATATAAGTGACAATTTATTTATTTGTTCTACAAATTATTATTTTGCACTTCCTCCAAACTACAATATAGATCATTAATTAACTAATTTATTTTTGTAAAAAAATCAATTAAAATCTTGATTTTCTAAAATTTTTTACATATTTCCAACTGTACGCTTGAGTATTATTCCCTCATGTTGTTATTATAAGGCACTCCTAACTTTTTCACAAGAATTAAGAAGATATGGTTAAATTATTAACTTTTTCAAAAAAATAGAATAATTTTTTAATTTTACCACTATTTAAATGACAATTTTTAAAATTTTCATTACATTCTCTCTCATAATTAATGAGTTTAAATAGTGATAATGATAATATTAAAAAAAAGTAATGAATACCCCATCAAGTACATTATATTAAGTATAAAAAAAAATTTCTGGAAGATGCTATATAAAAGGGACCAAAGAAGGAGTGTAAAATATGAATATAATTAGAAAAATATATACTCCCTCAATTGAAAAATATAAAATATTTTTAATTAAATCTTACCTCTAATAAAGTAATTACTTACTTTCAAACTAGTCTTATCTTTTCATATTTATTTTTACGAAACACTTTACAATAAATATAAAGTCATTCATCAATCAAGGCAATTTTGAAAAAAAAAAGGTAACAATTATATCTTGAAAGATTAAAAATGCTTACATTTTTTAATATCTAACTCTCTAAAAAATACCTTATATTTTTTAACAGAGAGTAAAATATATCCAATATCTTCATTTTTTTGGAGCAAACAAAGTTTCTAAAACATGCCATATATTATGATCTTGAGAAAGCACATATTAAAATTTTTGTTTGCTCATTTTTTTACTATAGCTCTTCAGTATCCCACACCCACATTTTATTAACATAGACCCAGAACTCTCAATTTTAATTGCTATATAAATTTTTTCAAAAATAAAAAAAATGTCAAAATGGTACTATAGAACTGCAGTATCATTTTGACAGTAATTACAATATATAAAGATAAAGATAAAGATTCTCTTAAGTTATTTGATAAGTCTATTAACTATCTAACTTGTGTAATAATAAGAAAAACAAGGAAAATTTAATAAGTAATGTAAGTGATTTAATAAGTCTGTCTCTATTCATTTCTATTACTAAATTATTATTGGTTAAATTATATTTTTAGTTCTCTAATTTTATATAATATTTTAATTTAATCTTTTAATTTTATAAAATATATTTTTATTTTTTTAATTCTAATATTATTAGTTTTAAATGATTATTTTATGCATCAATTATTGTTATTTTAAAAAAAAATTAAATTTAATTTGCCAACATTTAAAAATATTTTATCAATATTTAAAAATTTAATATAAAATTTATTAAGGTAAAATTAATAATGTTAGGGTTAAAGAATTAAAAAGATATTTTATAAAATTAAAAAATTAAAATAAAATATTATGTAAAATTAAAAAATTAAATATATAATTTAACCATTATTATTCCCCTGACCTAATTTGCAAAGCAACGAATTGCATTCTTGTGTCTGCTCCAAGCCTCTAGTGGCATGTCACTCTTCTCCACTTGTCAGCTCCCTCATCGCTCTTCTCGAGTGCTGGGTCTCTCCTTTACCTTTTTCCCTTTGTTTCCTTCATCATAATCGTTCATTTTGTGTGATTCTGTGTAACTTTTATACGACCATTTAAAATGTCAACTGTAATCTTCTATTATTATTAGCTAAATAATTTGCTTTAAAAAATAATTTTGAAATTTTTAATTAAAATAAACACAGCATTATTTAAAAAAAACAAATGTTATATTGCATTTTTTACAAACTAGTTAATTTAAAATTTTATTCTTATGTTTCAAATTAAAAATATTATGAATTTAATCTTGGAATGTTTATTTTTTATCTTTATTGTATTATTTATAAATAAAAAATTTAAAATGGGAAAATATGAATGCATATATATAAATATATCATTTAAAAAATTAATATAAATATATATATTATTTATAAATATAAAAAATTGTTCCTACCAAAAAAAAATTAAAAACTGTTTCAATGGGTAAAACTAATTTTTATATTTTTTTGATGCAACGTTCTTCTAGTAATATATGATCTGGTATTTTTCATTTATCCTAATTGCAAACTTTTATTTTGATTCTACGTGACATATTGATTGAAATTTATAATAATATTCACATACACAAACACTTTAATATTTACTCTACTGAAACAGCTTTTGAAATTTATAAGTAATGTATATTTTTTTTGTTTAAAAATGTAAAATATTTTTAACTAAATTTCACCTCCAATAGTTACCTACTTTTAAACTAATTTTATATTTTTATATTTACTCCTATTACATATCATATAATAAATATAAAGTTATTATCAATACTTTTAAAAAGAAAGTAATGATTACATCTTAAAAGATTAAAAATATCTTATAGTTTTTAATATTCAATTCCTTAAAAAATGTAAAAATCTTTTAATAGAGGGAGTATATTTTTTAACAAACATTCAAAGATGAAATTCATAATAATTTTAATTTTAAACACAAGAATGAATATATATTATTTATAAATTTCAAAAACTGTTCCTACCAAAAAAAAACTTAATCAATCAATTTTTTCATTTCCAATCAATTTCTAAATTTAATCACTGAAACAGTTTTTACTTTTTGGTAGGAACAGTTTTTGAATTCATAAATAATATATATTTTGAATTTTTAAATAATATATTTATATATGTACCTTAATATTTTCCCCATTTTTTAAATTTTTATTTATAAATAATATAATAAAGATAAAAGAATTCAAAAATTAAATTCATAACAATTTTAATTTAAAACACAAGAATAAAATTTTAAATTAAATAGTTTAAAAAAATGAAGTAGCATTTGTTTTTTTAAAATAATGTTGTGTTTATTTTAATTGAAAATTCTAAAACTCTTTTTCAGAGGAGATTGTTTAGGCAATGATGGTAGCAGACTATGACTGACGTTTTGAATGGTCAAATAACAGCCACACAAAATCACACAAAATAAATAATTAAAATATAAAAAATGAAGGAAAAAAGGAGAAAAGGTAAGGGGAGAAGCCCTGCACCCCGCTTCCCTCCAAGCCTCCATTATTATTTTCTTTAGAGTTTGTTTAATTGTTTCTAGTAAATATTTAATATATTTATATATGATATAAAACTTTGTAAAATTGATTAAAGTATACTTTTTACTCGTTAACTTTTAATTTTTTAATTTTATAAAATATTTTTTAATTCTTTAATCTTAACATCATTAATTTAAAATAATTTTTTGTGTGCCCATCATTATTATTCAAAAAAAATTAAACTAAATATATCAATAATTCAATAATGTTTGGTCAATATTACCAAAAATTAATGTAAAAAATTTTTGTAAGGAAATCAACTGTGTTAGAATTAAAAAACAATAAAAACACTTTATAAAATTAAAAAATCAAAATAAAAGATCATGTAAATTTAAAAAATTAAATGTATGCTTTAATTTTTATATTAAAAAAATTTGTATAAACAGTAGTTATTTTATCATTGCATAATTTTTATATATTTTAAATTATTATCTTCACTGTTCATGTATATGGCTTTTATCAACTTTATTTTTTTAGTCAATTTCATATATCTCCTATAAATTTATTTACCATGATGTAAGGTTAAGATTCTTTTTAATTATTTAAAAAATATTGGAAAAATAATGAGTATGGGAAAATTAGAAAAAATAAGAATGCAAAAAATTAAAAGTATTTTTAACCTACCCAAAAGTTTGGTAGTTTGGTACTCTTTAATACAGAAGAGTTCGATAAGTAAAGTAAATTTTAGAGAAATTAATTTTGCTATTTTAATAATTAATTACCAAGTTCTTCCTAAATTAATTAATTAATTAATTATAAACCCCGATAGAACCCTTCCTCTTGAGTGGCGGGTCCAGTTCTCTTAGTCGACGAACAAGCATCCCATACTCCGTTGGTCGCCGTCCACCGTTGTCAACGCTGTGTGGTTGTTCTCGGCCAAGCAGTGAAGAAGGTTCGAACCTAGGTCTTTTTTCTACTCCCAAAATCCGGTGAGATTGATTTGTTCAATCTGGTGTTTTGAATCTAGATTTGAATTTTTATCCGCGTCATCTGTTCCCGCTGTTCTTGTTTTGTTTTAAACTTTTCATTTTAATTTCGCTTTGAATCTGATCGTGTAATTGTTGAATATTGACGCCTTTGGTTTTGGGAATATTCACATATTGAGTTTATGTTTTTGTAATAGTTTTTGCTTGCACGGTGTGTAATTGGCTATGATACTTCTTCCCTCTTCAATTTGATTACTGGTGACTTGTATAATTTGGATATTGTTTTTCCCCCTTTGCAATGTTGGATTTGTTGTGTTTTGGCATTCTGTTTATTAATCTTTTTATATTATCATCAAAATTGGAAATTCTTAAGGCACTTGTGATGTATGATCTTGTAAATGACTTGGCTCGAGTCGTGTCAAAGTATCTGCAACAAAAATTAAAAGGACATTATATCGACTATGCATATTTCAAAGCCCCCAGAGTGTAGTATAGGTCCGCGTATGACTGAAGGCAATAGGAAGAAAGGGAAGTGGGGATGGGGAGTTGGAAACTGGTATGTTGTTGTCTTTGTGAATGATTAAAATTTCACAGCTTTATTAATCAATATAGATAATGTGCTACTGTAGCATTCTTGGACATATTATGCCCCATTTTGTAGATTTTCATGGAAATAAAAATGGAGATGAAGGTGAAGATGGATATGGAAATGGAAATGAATACATGGTTTAAAAATATTTTTGCTCATTGTTGGATCAGCAAGGATACCTAAAATGGTAGTGACTACAGTTTAGATAATTTACTGTTTCTATAACTATATTCTATGTGAACTATATTCCTAAAAGCTTAATAAATGATAGAGCACAATGGCGTCTTGCAATCCATGTAGCCGACCCCACCTAGTGAGATAAAGGCTTGTTGTTGTTTACTGTTGCTATAACTAGAATTTCATCATATATAGGTATGTATATGTTGGTACTTGGTATTGAGGTTTTGTAAACCTGATGTGAGCTTTTGTAAATTTGTAAACTAAAATCTAGTAGCTTGTCTCTTTGCTTGAGTCCAGAAATTAAAAAAATAAGGTCATCTTGTGGGGCCACCTATCGAAAAGATACCAGTCTAAATATACTGAATGCCGCCTGTTTGTTTTCAACCTTGGGCTTTTAGCATTTTGCTTTTTGGGGAATTTCCGTGCATATTTGTGAGACACAGGAATTCTGAAGTAACAAAGACTTTTGATCTGAAAGATCCAGCAAACTGACAATTTTCTGATTAAATTTTCTTTTCATTTTTTTCAGTGTACTTTCAGTTGCATACAATGCTATGGAACCTGGTTATTTTTATCTTTGCTAATGTAAATTTATCCTTAGAACTCACTGTTTTATGACAGGATTTATGCTGGTGGTTGAATTGCTTATATGCTGGTGAAACCAGAAAGATCACACGCATTGATCTGAATCATCAGTTGAAACCTTCATTTTCAGTTATTTCACTAAATGTCTCTTAGAAAACCTCCCCTTCCACGTCTCCTCCTCAACAACGTTTCCTGCATGAGAAATGCCCAACAAATTCTTCATCATGTGAATGTCTCCCTTCATGATGGCAGTGCGCTTGTGTTAACAGGTGCAAATGGCTCAGGTAAGACAACCTTTCTGCGTATGTTAGCGGGATTTTCTCGCCCTTCTGCTGGCGAAATACTTTGGAACGGACATGACATTACACAATCCGGAATATTTCAACAGTATAAGCTTCAGCTCAACTGGCTTTCCCTCAAGGATGCCATTAAAGAGAAGTTTACAGTTCTTGACAATGTTCAATGGTTTGAAGTACTTGAAGGCAAGCAAGGGAGGTCAATGCCTGGACTCGAGTTGATGGGTCTTGGAAGGTTGGCTAGTGAGAGGCCAAGTAGACTCTCAATGGGCCAGAGAAAAAGATTGCAACTTGCGAGATTGTTGGCAATTGATCGTCCGATTTGGTTGCTTGATGAGCCTTCTGTTGCATTAGATGATGAAGGGGTGAAGTTACTCGAGTACATAATTGCAGAACACAGAAAGAATGGTGGGATTGTGATTGTGGCAACCCATTTACCAATTAAGATTGAAGATGGCATGATCTTGAGGCTGCCTCCAAGATTTCCTAGGAGGATGACTCTAGTGGATATGCTTGATCGTGCCGATATTTAGTTATATTCTTTTTTACTTCACATTAACATCAATTAGGAAGTTCTAGAAGGATATATGAAGGAGTATATGATTATTGAGAACCACAAAATTCTGAAATTTAATTTAGGAATCATAATCCTTTTCTGTAATAAAAAAAAAACATTGTGACTAAAATACCCTTCACACTAATTAAGCAATTGGGCGCTAAGTGATTCTGAAATTCTAAGAGTTCGAGCTGTTGAAGTTTTGTTTGAGGGCATTGTTGCCTTCAAGCAAGCGAGGGCGTTGTGTTGATGGATACAGTTTGGGCATAGGTATATTAAAAGGCCAGTTGCATCATGAAGAAGTGAACTTGCTTGTTTAAAAGAGTTGCACAGATGGGCCTGGAATCTGGATAAACCACCCAGCATGGTGTGCATTAAAAAGAGGTGCTTTTTGAAGGGTGTTTTTTTTTTTTTATTTTGGAGGAATAAAAGAGGACTGAAGGAGTTTTTTTTTTTTGGGTGACCAAATTGTGTAAATATTTTGTACTGAATTCGTTCTTTATTTCTTTTTGCTGTTAGGGTTCTTAGATTTTTGGAAACCCAGTTTGTAATTGGCACATAAATGTGAGAGGGAGGCTCACAAGGATACTTATTTTAGCCTTTTTGTGTTTAGAATATTGAAACGTTGATTCTCTCTTCTTGAAAATTGAGAAATTCAAAGGTTTGTTACTTGGCAATCTCATAACAGCCCATTCGTAACTGGGATTGATTTACCCAGGTGATGCGTGTTTATTCAATAGGCGATTGCCACCCCATGGGACATTTCTAGGTGATCATTTTCAAAGAAAAGATCGATCTTTATGAGATAAAGTCAACTATACTAAAAATGACTTTTGTAGAGATAATTGTGAATTTCATGTCATTCTTTGGTTGAGGCAAGGTAACGAAAGGGAAAGAGGATTGAATTGATTAACTATGCCTTGTTTCACAACTATCAACAATTCTTTAAGGTAGTATTTAGATTGATGATTTTAAATTTAAAATCTTGTATTTTACATTTTACATTTAAAATTCATATATTTAAAATTTTTTATTTAAATAGTTTAAAAAATTTAAATAAAGATTAATTGAAATTCAAAATGAAATAGAAAATTAAAAATAACTAGTTTATTTTTATTTTTTAATTAGCAAAAGATGAAAAAAGATGCAAGAATGATATATGTATTAGTAGTGAAACACGAAAAGAACAAAATATTTGAAGTGATTACAATTTAAAATAACTAGAGTGTAAGGAAAATTTAAAATTACAAAAAATTATAATTTAAAATAAATTTGAATTTGAATAAAAAATAAATTTAAAAAAATTGTATTTTCAAATAAAAGATTTTGTCCAAATTCAAATCTCTAGTAATTCAAACATACCATAAATGTGGTTCCTAATTTTTTAATCTGGGACTGAGAAGGAATGTCAATCAAAATATGCTGACTTCTATGTATACATGGGAGCAGAAGCAGCTGAGCAAAGTGCGTTCTGAGATTGTTTTCTGGTTGATTACCCATCCCTTAAATCTAATTTCTTCGGAACTGTTGAGCTCTATTTCCGGTACCACTCGAAGAAACAAAAGATCTCAAGCATAGTAACATCCTACGATAATAACGATAATTGTAAACAGATAGATGTACTTGTAATTGACTTAATGTGTGTTATTTCTACCGGCGGTCATGTTAACAATAATTGTAAACAGTTCATATTATAATTAAGGTAAAGTGCAATAAGTCATTTAATTTGCTACTGATAAGTGGTGGCCTCTAAAAGACACAACTGAGACAGGGCAAGTTGATTTTCTCATCACTCGTCAGGTTTCAGTACCTATAAAATAAATCCAGTTCTGGGTTTTAAAGCTCTCACCGAAGGCCATCCATAATCTTTCAAGTAAAATAAGAAGTCTTTGTATCTGATAAGCGTTGCTCTTGGATTATTTATTTATTTACCTACTTTTGGCATCCGATGAGCCAGAACATTTTGCTTCCCCTGACTTTTATGCCTGGCCCATGGATAGGTATCTCATGTATTAGTCTTTCTATTTAAAAAAATTTTTACGTCTCAAAATATAAAACACTCAAAATATACATTTTAAAAAAATTAAAATTTTATTAAATACATCAATTTTAATATTATCATTTTTCTCTCTATAATTAATTTTCATCCTTTTTTCTTTTCAACATATTAAATAATGAATAATTTTAAAAATTTATATTTTTATTTTAAAAAAATAAAATTATTAAATGTATTTAACATAATTTATTAATTTGTGAAATTTTACCTAAAAAGTGTTTTATAATTTGAGACGAAAGGAGTATTATTTGATCCTTGTTCTTTTAAAAAAAAATATGACATTTACCACAAACACAATAAACAAAACCTAATAATGAAGAAAAATTATTTTGATATCAAACGCAATTTCTAGAATCAAAATTTTCCTGTGGGTCAAAGACTCAACCATCACAGTGCCTATTCCACTAAATTCAGTTTTCTCTCAGCCCACAAAGCAAATAGTGAATCTTTAAGATGGAATGGCAACTATTGAACAGCCCTTTGTCTTTCATCCGCATCTTCACCCTCAACCTGAAATCATATAACAATTTAAATGTAATCTGACAAGCCATAGGCGAAATAAATTGTTTTCACATATATATGAACTTTGAAGAATGATTTCACCCATACTGGCACAGTTTAAGATGGGTACAATGAGTTGATGAAACTAGTCCAACAACATTATTTATGATTTTTAAAAATTGTTTCCCAAAGTGAAATGACTAAATTGCAACAAAACATTTCATTGTCCGTGAAAAACATCAGTAGGATTTACTTCTTTTAGGCTTTAGCATAACCTTGTAATCTTGTATGCATTCAGAAATTAATTCATTGCAGCACAAAAATGCAGAACCATTAAAAAGAATTGGAACACAGCAAGTCATTACCTCAACAAGGACCCTCGCTTTCTTTGATTTTTTGTCAAATACACTTTTCACAGGTCTTTTATTCTTCGTCAACTTCTTGTGAGCAACAACATTTGCTTCTTCTTCATCGTCAGTTCCAGCTGCATCAGCAAAATACCATTACATTGTGCTTTTCACAAGTGTTCATTTCACACTTATTATGCAAAAATAAAAGAGCTTCCTCACTGCTATTTCCGACAAATTTTAGAGCATAATATGCATCATATAACATTGTATCTGAATGACAAAATATTTAGATGCAAGCATTGTACATGATATTAACATAAAAGATTTCTTTTTCTTTGACCAATTCAATAAGCTAGTTATTCAACCAATCCTCCAGTCTAATTTTCTCCGACTTTACACCGCCATTTCATAATCATGTGTTGTAATGCAGTCGGTGTTCAATCTTGTGTAAAAAGCTTGGCTGCTCCAATGTGGAGAGTATTTTGAGTTTGGAGAGTTGTAACGGTTTTGTCTAATGAAAGTTAGCTGTGATTGTCAATCATACAAGTCATCTCCAGTGTTCCTATGCCTATTTTTTGTAACATTACCAAAACTCATTTAACTTTCAGGTTAAATCCTTTTGAAAGGCCGAGCACGTACTAATAAAATGTTCTGCGATAGAAATATTAGATACATCATGATGTCTTATGCAAATTGCGAAGCTTCTGGATCAAACTATACCATTTTCGTCATCATCATCATAATCATCTGGAGCCTCATGAGTCCCAAAGCCAGAAAAATCCTCCATATCATCTACCTCTTCAAATTCATCATAACCTTCTACATATTCAACCTCAGGTTCCTGTATGTTTAGGAAAAACAAATTAAGACATTACAACAATGAGGCGTTTTATTAAGTCAAACTGCAAACTTGTAAATTCAATATATATGATAGCTGAGAAAATAGAAAGAAAGGATCTCCAAAAGCAAACTTCTTCATCTTCCTCTTCAGCTGGTTGAAGCTTCTCCATATCAAGAACATTATTGTACTCTTTTAGAGGATAATTGACGATGTCACCAGGTCCATAAACTCCTTTATGGAGGCGTTCCAAAAGCTCACTTTCAATAGCCTATATAAAATAGATTAGCACTAGTGAGGGAACATAAGATTTAATGTGTATAGGTGAAATCAAATGAGGATTTAGTATAACCTTGTCTAACAATGCTGCCTTTTCAGCCTTCTCTTCTCTTCTAGCTTCCCTCTTTTTTTCTTTCCTTGGGGTTGTCATTATTTTTTCCCTGTCCAAGACAACGTATCGTCACCAACACAATGAATCAGGTTATTATGGTGAGAAATGAAAAATCTAGTAATGCATTATACATAACAGCCCAAATATAGATCAAGGATATTTAGGCTATAAGATTGTTCTCTAGGACTAGTATTTGTTACAGGGTAGAAAAGAGGCCAATAAGCTAAAGCAGTACGAATTAACCAAGCAAATGTTGATAGAGTGTAGAAGATATAACAAAAACTCTTGAATGATGGAAATCTTAAATGCATACCAAGAGGCAAGAATTTTCAATGAACAAGGTAAATGTTATAAAATATCCATGACTTATAATTGATTATGGAACAAATGCAATGCAATAAGACAACAACCAACCAAACATACCAGAGGACCATATAGACTATACAGTGAGCATAGGTTATTGAACAAGATATGGAATGGAAGTCTGAAAATCTATTTTTTTCCCTCCATTTCAAGCATTGATTATTCTCATCCAAAAGTTTTTTCATGAATTTACCCATTCTGATTTGGGGAAAAAAAATGACATTGCTTGAGCATTTTAAGATATTGACCAAATAGCTCAGTAAAAGCTTTAATAAATTTGTATGATTGACAATGGCAATACCATAGGGATACTCTAAGAGTCTAAGTCACGTAAAGCTCAAGTCTGTTTTAGATCCCTGAAATCTACTAATAGGGTTTCCTATATACTTGGAGTAGTAGAGAATTTTCCCGCTCATAAGGGTTTTACTAAAAGTGATTCATTCTAATCGAGTGCCAAAATTCTAAAACCTTCAACCTTCTGCAAATAAAGAGGACTCTTCATATATATATATATATATATAACCACTTCTATCACAAAGGTTTGCTCCCAGTTTGCCAATTTAGGTTGTCACTCTCTGAATCACTAAGCTGGTACTTGGCTTAATTTGCCAATAAAACCAGCATGCTTGAGCAGCTCACATACAAGAATAAAAACAAGTATGCATGTTTGAACACACAAGCTATGCTGATGTTTTACTTCCGATCATGCTAATTAGGTAAAATGGTTAGGTCCTGAAGTCTTACTTCCAATCATAATAATCTTATGTATCTTTCCCTTTACGAACTATCACACAAAAATTATAGTTGTCTGATTCTATTAAACATGAGATTTCAACATCTAAATTTCCCAAAGGTAAAATAGGCATAAACTGATGGAGAATATGAGATTCTAAATTCAACCTCGTCTTCAAACTAAGTTTCCTCATGCGTATCCGCATCTGGGTCATTTTGGTCAATCGCTGCTTTGTTTTGTGTACAAGAAATTTAGGCCAATACAACTGTCCAACCAAAAAGTTCAGGCAGTTCAACCAATCATGAAATTATGAAAATATTAGTAATACATGTAATATTCAGATCTTGAATAGACTATTTAGATCTTTGTACCAGATGTTTGTCAATGATTTCAAGTGCCTTTTCATAATTCCTTGGAAGCTTCACTCTTTCCCACAGTTTGTTCGGCATGTGAGCTCTTTCTATAGTTTTCATGTAAAGGTAGAATACTCCTGCAGTACCCAATGCAACTGTATTATTAGTTGCATGTTGTGAAAGCAGCATGACTTATATCATTCTTAAGTATACCATCATATAGTTGATGTGTTGAAGTAAATTGTTCAATATACACGCAGAGGGAAACTAGCCCAAATGAACAGTGTAAAAGATGAAGCTCAGTCAGATAACCATTGGATCTCTAATTCTTCATGTGATTCTCAAAAGGAAAAAAAAAAAAAACATAAGAACTCAACTACCAGTGTAGTTGTGTAAGTCAAGATGAAACGTATAGGGTAAGAATAAAGAAAAGAAAGATTAAGTAAAAGGTACCATTCTCATCTCGAATGGTGGCATAGCGACTATTGGCCAAAGGGCACGAGCTTCGGTTGCAAATCCCAGTCACGTTATACGGGTTTCTACAGAAATTACCCGTCGTGATTCTACAAAAACGCACCCCAAAAGAAAAAGAAAGTAGAAGAAAACGAAACTATTTGTCATTTATCAAAAATCTGGAGTGAAAGAGAAGAATAGCAACAAAGATGAAGACAAAAAACAGTTACTTGGCCATGAAACTGCAGTGGTTGTGCCTGATAACTTGCCATATGACTTCGTCATGCTGCATCTTTGAAGGAAGCTTTCAGAGAACTGCAAGATAGCCCTTCAAGACTATGACCTCGCTATTCAAAGACCAAGTGATTCCGAGAATATGAAGAGACCAAGTAAACCAGTATTCACCTGACTCACGATATAATGAAGGGACTCAAAGTTCCGTTGATGGAAGAGGTACAAGACGAAGACGATGCCTTTCTTTATTTTTCCCCTCCTTTCTGGCAAACGACTTCGTTATTGATGGTTGATACATTAGGGTTTGAACGGCGCGCAATTTTTTTTTTTTAAAGCATATCGGGCCATTAAAAAAAAAAAACACAAAAGCATATAGGGTCGGTCCGGATACTTCTCCAACACTCGAATTTTAGGCCCCGGTGCGGATTCAAATTGAAATATTGAAGGAAAATTTGCAACGAGGCACCCTTGGAGAAGTTTATTCACAGAAAATGACCAATAAATTCTGATTTGACAAGGCAATCCTAAAGGTCCTAATTGTAAATAAACTTCTTGGTAGACAAAAATAACCCTCTGATGGAAAGGAAATTAAGCATAATACTTAGAAGAAGAAACTGGCGCATGAAGCTCGAACATTCGAAGTGTGAACATGCAAGAGCTAGTGACCTAAAAACTCCCAATTCCTTCCTCCATCATTGCCGTCCTATTACATTGGTTTTGCATTCTTTCTTTCATCTAAGTTGGCTTTGTTGTGTGGGTACCGTAGGCTTGTTTGTGGGGGGTACTTTGAGGCATTCAAATCCAAAGTTTGCGATGTCATCAAGATAAATGATCTATATAATATCCTAAAAATTTAATTGAAATTAATTAATCTATTAAAAGATAAAATAATTAAATAATAAGTTAATTAAACTAATTATGATTAAGGATCATTAATGAGCTTAATTGAACCCTTAGGTAGTTTTAGCTTGAGTCTAGAGGAATTTGGACCACTTTGGGCCAACACAATTTTAGATTAAACTATGTTATGCACCAGGACAAATGTATTGTGCATTGTGATGGATTATCGATTATTAAAATTAAATCTTTCACAAAAACACAACAAAAAAAAAAAAAAATGAGTGAGAGTTTGAGAGAGAACACTTGTGACTCTGCTAGAGCTTGGTGTCAACAGCTTTCAGAGAGCTTTGGGGTGTGGAATCACATAGGTAAGCCTCTCTAACTTCTCCCCCCCCCCTTAAATATAAGCTAGGTTTTGGGTTGATATTTGTGTTTTTGGCTATATGGGGGGTTATGATTGAACCTATTGAGTCTAATGAAACTATTGAGATATTATTTAAACATGTAAACCTATGGTTAGTGTTTTGATAGAGTTGTGTGTTTAGATTTGTGATTTTGAGCAAACTCTAAACTTGGAGTTAGCCATGTAAAGATGAAATGAATATCAATTAGGTTTAGTTAGATTCTTGGGAGTCTGTTGAAGTTAATAAGACTAATGAATGTTTGAATTAACTAAATAAATGAATTTTGGGCATTATGAGAAGCCATGAGTAGCTTGGATTAATGTCTATAATTAGACATTGATGAAGTTGGAAATATTAATTATAGATTAATAATCCAGACCACTTGAGAATGTTGGGAAGCTTGAGTTGAGAAGTATCTATGAGTGTTTGTTTGAATTAACTCAAAGAGTGTAGGTAATTGAAAACATAAATTTTGAGAGTTTGTTGAAGTAAATTAGGCTGATGAATGTTTAAATTGACTAAATAAATGAATTTTGTGCATTATGAGAAGCTATGAATAGCTTGGATTAATGTCTATAGTTAGACATTAATGAAGTTAAGAATATTAATTGTGGATTAACAATCTAGATCACTTGAGGATGTTGGAAAGCTTGAGTTGAAAATTATATATGGGTGTTTGTTTGAATTAACTCAAGTAGTGTAGGTAATTGAAAACATAAATTTCTTCATATATTTGCTTAAGAATTTATTCTACTTTGAAAATGAAAATATGTTTTGAATAGGAGAAATGTTAAATTATGTTTAGAAAATTCATGCAAATGGTTATGATATTTTATGTGTGAAAGTATAAATGAATTGTAAAAGTGATGTTCATGTGATGTATGAAAAGCATGATTTAACTTAAGCATGTGGACTCTTGAGCATGAAGTTAGTATGATTGTATACGTGGCACCAATATGAAATAGAATGAGTGAGAATTCATCCTAAATGAAAGCAGTTGTAAATGTAAAAAAAAAAAAAAAATCTTACTAAAAATATTGAAGTTTTCTTTCCTTATAAATATGTTATATCTGATTGATTTGTAAATATTAAAATTTATTTCAATAGAAATAACAGGTCAACACTGGTTGGTAATTAGTCAATATCTGTAAATTTAAGGGCATTTGGACCCTTTACAAGAAAAATAATTACAACAAAACCTCACGTGACTTAGAAGTATTTTTTATATTTATAAGGATTGAGAACTTGGTGTTAAACAATCTTTTAGAGATAACTTGGGACGTGCTAATTATTTAGCAAGATCTCCCATGGTGTGGGAGCAACTGTTGATTTAATTTGATCTTGTCTTGCAAAATACGTAGATATTTTGTTGTCTGATCTGGGTACTCCTATATATATATAAGCATTCTTCATTTTCTTTCTTAAGCTTCAATTCAAAAAAGTATTTTTTTTATAAATAAGTTTCTTAAGCATTTTTGAAGAATAAAAAAATAAAATATTATTTTAAAAAATAAAAAAATGAAAATATCAACCTTGTTTGAAACTATTTTTATTTTATTGTTATGAGAACTAATATTTTATAAAACATGTTCTAAGACTAAAAAATAATGAAAATGAATATTTTTTTTCATTCTTCCTTATTCTTTAAAATAGTAGTCTCAGAATATTTAAAAAATATTTCTATTTTTTATTTTCTATTATCTAGAAAAATATTTTATTTTTTATTTTTTAAAATACTTTTTGAAAACACATTATCAAACAAATTTTTTATTTTTTATGAAAAATAAAAAAATTATTTTCAAAATAAGTTGTCAAAGTCTAATATTTTATATGTTCTAGAATTACTACTCTGAAAAATAATAGAGAATAAAAAATATTTATTTTTATTATTTTTTGTTCTTATAATATATTTCACAAAACACCATTTATCATGTAACAATAAAACAACTCTCCCGATTAAGTCCTCTTTATCGCTTCCATCTCTCTAATTCTCTTTCCCATCACCCATTTATAGTTTTGACAACGTGCCCCTTCTTGTTCATAATCTTACCTATGGGTTGATGTCCTCCTCAACCCTCGAGGCAATAAGTTGACAAAAAATGTTTATATAGATGGAATGTATTGCATTGTTTATAATTTATTTAATTAAAATATTTTAATTAATTTAAATAATATTTTATATAATATTTTTTGAATTAATTTTATATTTATAATTGAATGCATATTTGAATTTTTATCTTTTTTTTTATATTATTATTAATATTATAATTAATTTATATTTAATGTTATTTTTTATTGAATAAATTACAACATGACTTGGTGGGCCGGCCTGCTAAGTATTTCGCATGAGTTGACCGGGAATCAACCATTTCCTTCTTTTCGCATAATTCATTTGTCTTCGTCGTCGTCCTTTTCACTTCGTCTTCTTCGATCTTTCGGAAAATTTCCAAGTTTTTGCTTTTATATTTCATAGCTTGTGATTTTAGGTATTTTTCGATAACCGTAATCGTTTGTGTTAAGATGAGTCTCCGTTTTTTAGTCTACTCCTTTTGTTTATAGGTGAAGATCTGATTCCTCTATTTTGGTATGTTTTTCTATGTTGTCCACGCCGTTGTTTTTGGAGACCCCTTTTGTTTTCCTCGCGGTTTATATTCGTTATGTTGATTTTACAGTTCTTTGAGGTTTCTTGATTTCACGGAGTCCAATAATATCCAGATCGTTTTTTGCCCACTTTAGTTGAGGGGAGTTGGTGTTTTAAATTATTTCTTGTCTTTTTTATTGAATAAACTTCACTCTTTCCTTAATCAGTATGATGTTCTTCTTGGATTCTTGTTCAGCTTACTCTGCATGCACGGTTTTGGGTTTCTTTAATCTTTCAAGTATTCACTGATCTGACGGCCTATTTTGATTGTGTAGTCAGTCAGTTTTTGATACGATAGATTTAAGCCTTAATTCAAGCTCTTGGATTTATAGTTTCTGTTTATGACTGCACTCTATATGTTTTATTTCACTTTCGATTCTTCAGTCTAGCGTTTTTCTGATATTGCAGTTTTATGTTTTGTGATTTGTGGGTCCTTGTGACTACCGGCTAAGCTTATGTTTTTCCCCCAACTTTGAAGTGTGAATAACGCAAGAAAATAAATTTTAGCTGTCTAGGAGGAGCTTTTGGAAGAAATATACGTCTACCAACTTTCAAGTCAGGTTAGAATATTAATCTACTTCACATACGGTATTGAAGAGCTGCTTTTGTTATTGAGTTATAATATTGACCTTAGAAAGAAGGGTTCTACCTTTTGGCAAGCTTCAGAATCATGCCTGTTTCAGGACACGAAGAGGTGTTTATTTCCTTTCTGGTTTGCAGCTAACAATGATCGGAGAACCTTTTTTCTCTTTTTTAAATATTGATTTTGATGTTCTATTGACAGACCGAGGTTAAAACATATGCTGGGTAGTTTAGTGGTGTAATTGCAGGGGTGCCTATAAAAAAATGCGGTTTCCTTTGATTCATCCCTTTTCGGCTTTGTCTGGAGATCAATATTTGCTCACAGAAGAAACTGAATCACTACGGAAAGAACATTTAGGCACTCCTCTAGGATCTCCTCCAACCCTATCAAATATTGGTATTGCAGATGCACCAATCAAGAAAAGAAGGTTCCCTTCAATTCAATCTTCTTCATCTTTGGAAGAATCTTCTTCACTACCGGAAGAAAACAATGCATCACATAAGGAACATTCGAGCACATTGTTGGGTACAACTCTTCCAATCAGTTCTGCTGGCATATTTGATCAAATGAAAACCCTGCATTTGAAGAAAGGAAAACAAGTTCTAATCTTACAAATGCTAGCTCTGTCCAAAGCAAGTCTAGTTACCTTAGCCCTAAACTTGAACAAGCAGGTCTTGCAACTCACTCAAGTACACTGGATATTGTGGACAGCAGAGAGAAGTTGATTACTAGTGGAAGTTATGAAGAAAAGCTGGGAAAGAAGAATTCTGAACTCTTGTTGGCTGCTGAACAAAGTCTTGTACTTAAAATAGGAGCTGAGATTAGCAAGCAAAATGTTCAAGAGAAGTGTAAACAAGAGAGTCATGCAGTTCTAGAGAGTGCTGTTTTATCTTTAGGATTTAAAAAGCACTTATTTCCAGCCGGGACAAGCCTTGATGTTGATAATAGTTTCCAGAATGAGAAACCAGAGTCTGTTTCGTTAAAATTGTCTGAGCTAGGAAGATGGTAGTTCAGGGAGTCATAGTGGTGATGCTAAAGCTAATAGGGCAAATTGTTATCTGAATACAACAATGGATGCTTGGGAAGAACCTGGTGAGGATGCTTCTACTGATAAGACATCTATGCATGGGCTGCCGATTTCTGATAATGCACTTATGGAAAAACATGTTATGTGTTCAACCGGAATGGAACTTACTAGCAGTACTCCCCAGTTCAAACTACTGTGGAGAGTCTAAACAAAAGCATTCATGATTTCATCTAGGATGTATGGGCAACAGCTGAAATATGTTGACCCTCGTAATCTCTACTTTGCTTCATGTCTTCCAAAATATACTGGAGAATCTTCTGGATTTGTTAAACAAAATTCTAACTGTGCTATTCCTACTTTGAACTTGTCAAATGTGCAAGCTTCTGGTGATGTGAACATAGCTAGTATTAGGCCTGTAAAATCAGAATTGTTAGGATGAGAACGATAGCATGCTGAGTCAACATGGACGTCCACTACTGACTTGTCAGAGAAGAAAGGGGAGGAAGTTAGAATCAGTTATGCAGAATTAAATTAATTTTGATTTAATTATTGCACTTTCAGTTTTAGTTAGCTAAATAAGTGGATCAACTTTTGATATGAGGTTCACCTACGTTTAGTCAGTTTGAGTCAGTTGTGCTGCCATCCCAGATATGTTGGAATATTTTCTTATTATTTATTTATTATAACTCTCATCATAGCTAGACATTCAGAAATAAAATACAGTTTCCCTTGGAGATTCTCCTACTCTGGCTATTAGATACTTTTAGAGTGAGATTCTTGCTCTAATTTATTTAATAGATTTATTTGCTTTTCCTTACCATTCTGAGTTCCTAGCAGAGAACTGGAAACATGATTTAAAGGAGACTAGACCTATTCCTGTGGGATCATTAGATGGGGTCGCTGTCAAACATAATTAGTGGAGCATCCCAATGTTGATTCTTTCAAGTCTTTGGAAGGTAGCAATATGAAGCTTGATAATCCTAGACTCGTTAAATCTGAACCAGGTCGTGAGAATAATTAGGAAAGACCCAAAACGGCAGAGAGTATATCAGATCAAATGAGTAAAGAGTTGCTACGGGGATCAGATGACTGTTCTTCCTTAGAAAAGCCAAGGACGTTGGAATCATTTCCAATTTCTACAGGTACAGCTCCACCTGTGAAAGTCATATGTTCAACAGAGTTGAGTACTAGAATAGGTATTGTAACCCATCTAGAAAATCATGCTTCTGTAGAGGGAGCCTTTGTTGATGAAAAAGCTCAAGGAGATTGTTCAGGTGACAAGCAGGTCTCTCCAGAAACAGTTTCCATAGCTATGGTTGATGTGCAAAATCAAGTGGTCTTGGCAAAATGGATATGTAACTAATGAAGGAAACACAGATGATGCAGAGGGATGTTTGTTGAAACGTAAGAATGAGGGCCCATCAGATCCACAAGGCATGGTGAAGACGGTGCAAGTGATGATGACATGATAACTTTATCGACTGATATACTAGAGTATGATTCTCATGGATGTGATTGTGAATTAGATGCCATGGATATAGAGCAGTATGATGACTGGATGATGATTATAAAGATCAGGTTCGAGAACCAGTGAAGCACTCTGTAGTAGAAGACTCTGTTTGTGAGGTAAGAGTAGGACTCCCTCTCTTTTCAAATGTACGAGAATTTCAACTAACTCACACAGTTTAAGAAAGTTACCTAATCTTAATAATTATATCTGAAATTGAAATATTTGGACTAAAATGTCCTTGTAATTAATGTTTACTTTTTTTTTTCTTTAATTTAGTGGTACTACGTATTTATGAAGGACAATTTGGAAAAAATGTAATTAATACTTCTGGAAATTTGTAATTTTGTTTATAATAAAAAGCAATAGAACATAGGGTGGTTTCTCTTATATTTGAAAAAGAGGGAGTAGGTGGTGGTGTTTCTAGCCATTGTCCCACGTCACCTCGTCTTGAAGAAAATGACAATAGAAATGTTAATCACAACGAATAAATTGTGTCAATGATGGTATTGACATTGAATCAATTGATAAATCTGATAGCATCACTGACAAAAACTATGTGTACAAGAGTCATTGGAAGCTGAAAAGCCAATTGTTGGCTCGCAAATCAGGCTGGTAGATCTTTTTTGGGAGGCAGAACGTCCTTAATGCCACAGAGACATTTATTATCTGACCAAAACAATAATGAAAGGAATGAAGTAGATGCCGCTCTGTGCTGATGAGGTTGTTATGAACTTGGACATACATAGAAAAATTGACTCAGAAGTGCCAAAGATGGAAGTATCTGTAAATACTGATGATGCAAACAAGGATGCAAGTAATGGTGGTAATCAAGGAAGGATTATAAATTTGTCCCGAGCAGCTAGTTCACTATCCCCTACTAAATCTTGGTCAGTACAAGGACGGGACTGCCATCACAAGCTGGAAGAGCTGTGTTGCCTGAGAAATTCCATCATGACAAATTACATGGACGAAGGTATATGCTTATATCCTAATCTCCCTTATACTGATAGTTGAATCATTTTCCTATCACATTTGCCTTCCTGTTTTGATTTTCAGAGATGACTTTTACATTGATACTCATCTCTTCCGTGCAGATTTTCAAGAGAAAGGTATGAAGATGTTTCACCTAGAAACTCGACTAAATGTGGTAGAGGGAGGATTAATAGGCGGATGGTCACACATGGGGATGAATGGGTGTCTGACCGTGAATTTTCTGGGGAATTTATATTGGTGCAAGGCAGTTTTGTGTCTCTAGGCATAAATTTGCATGGGCTGTTCATGGTGCTGATTCACAGTGCAATGATGTTGCACATGATGGTTCTTTTGTTGGGGTACTAATTGGTTATGCAGGAGGCCCTTGAATGATGAGGGGCTAGTTGGTATATTAATTGAGGAGACAGTGTCCTGGTGGGAGAGAGAACATGCAAATGGGGCGTGGAATTCCTAGAAACTATGAGCCCAAGTGTTAGTATAAGCATGGGGAGAAGTTTATGAGAGGGTATCCTTAGGAGCCTTTGGACCCTATGTGTACACATCACCAATCATTTGAGAGAGTAAGTGGTTGATATACTCAGGGAGATAGGAACTTCATTCAGAGAAGGGGTCCTCAACGAATTTGTTCGAAGTCTCCAATCAGATCTAGGGTAGAAGATTACGAAATGGATTTGGTGGACATCTAGAATTGGCCCATCGACAGCCATTATATAGGGATGACAGAATCAGATCCCCTGATCGTCCAGCTTTGCATGGGAATTGAGTGGTCAGGAGGCATGTCTCGACCTTTGAATGAGATGAGGGGTATTGATTCTGGTTCTGGACGTGGTCGTGGTAGGTCTGTCATATCCAACAGGAATCCATCTGGTCGAATTGTGTTTAGAAAAAGATTTGGCGATGCTGTAGATTCCCGATACAGGGCAGATAATGATGACTGCTTTGAAGGCCCCCTATGCATTCTGGTCGGTTACTTAAGCTAAATGGTGAAGGCAATGGTGATGAGGGGAGGTTTGGTGAGAGATGGGAACCAGTTAGATCTTCTAGGTCTCCTTATAATGGTAGTGTTGGTGACAATTTTTATCTTGATGCAGAGGATTGGCCTAGATAGTGTAGATATTGTACTGAAGATTCAGAATTCCAAGAAAGAAGCAGCTTGAGAGAAAGGGATTTTGAGAGGCGTTTCTAGAGCAGGCCAGCAAATGGGCTACCTAGAAGAACAAGAAATGTAGATGAGCAGGAAGCAAGTTGCAGGGACTGTGGACAGGTTTGGAGCGATGACGGCTTTGATGATATTTCAAGAGTGAAGGGGAAAAGATCTTAATTGTATGACTAGAAGTAGAAAATATGCTGCAGGAATAATCTGTGATATTGTACTGAAAAATTTACATCTAGATCAGATTAACACACACACACACACAGAGATTTATAGCATCATCTGTGATGTTTCAAGACTTCTGGATGCCTCGCTAGTAGTTCTAGTGAGAGGGCAGAGGAGCCTCCTGATTTTATGGAAGCACAACCTAACGCCGAGGCATCCGGGATATTATTCTCGCGAAAGGTGTATGAGAAACTTAGACATATCATATGATGATTCTTTTTATACTTGCCCAGGTCATACTTAGAAGAGGACTCATTATAATCACCTTTCTTATTTAATTAATGTGTGTATGTATATGTATGACAAACAGCTTTGTGAGATCCAAGTTGCTATATATATATATATATATATAGTCTCTCCTTTTAGAAATACTAGGCATTTTTATTTCTTCAACATACAATTAATTTTTGTTTTAAATTCTCAACAAATAAATCACTTAACATTTTATCTTTAAGTGAAATATTCTATTAAATAATGACGTACCCTTTCTGTTTTTATATGTAAGAAGTTTTTTAAAATTTTTTTATATCTCTATTAATATTTTTTTAATAAATGGATCATTATATTTTTATTAAATCAGAAAAAAAAAAGATAAGTATTTTTATTAATTTACTTTGAGAAAAGATATTTATTTTTTATTTACAATAATTAAGAGTAAAATTGAAATGTTATTGTGTTTTTGATTAATTGATCAATTTTATTGATTTGCGTAATTTAATAAAAAATATTATGTATATAAGGACAGAGGGAGTATGGTAAGAGATGGTATTAGTTTAAAGTCAACTAATTAATTTATTGGAGATATAATTTGATGAAAAATATTTTTTACTCTGTTCGTTAAAAAATAAGATATTTTTTAAGAGGTTTGATATTAAAAAATATAAGATATTTTTAATTTTTTAAAGTATAATTATTTTCTTTTTTTTTTTAAAGTTCCTTTATTGAATAGATCACTTTATATTTTTTTAAGGTGAAACACCTTATTAAATAAGGATAAATATGAAAAAATAAGGTTAGTTTAAAGATAAATGACTACTTTATTTGAGGTAAGATCTCAAAAGGATCAATTAATTTAAGTTAGGTTTCAGGTATCAAACTTAAGAAATTTACAACTCAATTTTTTTATTTTACAATTGCATTATGATGAATTTGTAACTTGTTTTTCAAATTTTAACATGGCTTAAGAATAAAAAATTTTATTTTTCTTGTTAAAATTTAAAATACAAGTTGCAAATTTATCATAATAGAGTTGCACAATTGAGAAATTAAGTTACAAATTCTTAAAATTTGACACTTGAGATCTAACTTAAATTAATTGGTTATTTTCAGATTTCCCTATCATTCTCCCTTAATATAATTTGCTTTATCATAAAAAAAAAAAAAAATCTAGCCAAGCCACCAATATCCACTTTCACCACATCATCACGTGCAGTGTTCATCTAAATTTTCTTTCATCTGTCATGGAAATAGCTCTTTAAGTTCATTGGGTACAAAATTACAAGCACAAGAAACTTGTCTTCTATAGATACAAAAAATTAACGTTTTTAAATAGATACTTTGTCATTCGCAAAACATAACAAAACTTGCTCTCCTTTACTTTTCTTCATGTCCCTTTTCCATATAGGAAATGCAGCTTGGAAAATGTCCAGTTTCTCTCTTGCTTAGTGAACCCCCTTATGCAAATGGATATCATATCGTTTTCAGATCCTTTTTAGTTGGCAAAAACTCATACATTCTATTTGGTTCATTGGTATACTGAGATGACCAACCGAGTGATTGACCTAACTCGGTTTGGCCATGCAACATTAAATCAGTCGAAGTAATTTAGCCATTTGAGTTATTTACAATCATAATAACTATGTTAAAAAAAAGTGGGCACAGAATAAATATAGTTATGAAACAATAAAAATTTATCTACAAAGATATGTACTTAAAAAGAAGAGTCTGAACTCTGAAGACGAGTGAGGAGGAAAAAATAGAGAAAGTAATAACATGGTATAGTTATGAAATAAAAAGAGTTTATCTACTGCATCAAATATAATTACATTTAAAATTCAATCTTACAGCAAAAATTACAAATATTCTAAAACTCGACGTTTATCCACACGATTTATAAACTGGCAAGGGTGTTAAAAAAAATGGAAAGGGTCTATTTGGTATAAAAGAATTAAAAAATGATCGCTATAAACATCACCAAAAAGTGGGAGATCTCTTCCTGGCTGTCATACCGAAGGTCTCGTCAAGCTTCAGGGCTAGCAATGAATAGCTTGTCCAGACAAAGAAAAACAGTAATTGTCCAGCCAAGCAGAAGCAGATTTGAGGATGCGAAGCTCACCAACTAGGAGATCCCGAGCCATTGTTCTTCTTACATCAACTTTTGTAGAAATGGAAGCATTGGAAAATTCCAATGACTGCAAGAATAATTAGGTCCTTTAACTAGTAAAGCACTATACCAAATCCAAGAATTTTGACTAAACTTGATAAGTGATAACATCAGTATGTATATGTATATAATAAATTGGATGAACACGTATATAATAAAGAGGATAAAATGACAATTTAGCCCTTAAACTATAGGCCAAGGAGCATTTGGAACACTAAACTCATTTTTGGTGCATTTTCACCCTAAACATTTAAAATTGTGGCTCATTCCATGTAATCCATATAAGGCACAAGGGCAAAGGCAGGAAATCTTTACCATAATAGCTTCAGAGCGCTCTGCAATTAATTTGGTGAATAATGAAGACAAGATCAGGTGTGCTTCAATCTCTTTGTTGATGTTGCACAATGGCCGCCTGGCCAGCCTACCATCAGTTTGTGCAGCCTCCATGGCCAAATCATTTAGTTCTGATATTTTGTCAATACTAATTCCATTAGCGGATAATGCTCAAGTACAGATTATGTAACAGAAAGTGTAACCATTATTGCATTACAAAGAAGACAAAGAAATGTACAAAAGCACACCCTGAGGAAAGGTGCAAGAAAGGACGCGAGCAAATGCACGAAGAGATTGTGGAAGTCCCTTTCCTTTTGCACTGGTAGGTATCACTTCCCTGTACTGGCTTCGTCAGACAGACAGACAGACACTAACAAGTAGAGTGGCGACATTTTAGAGTAACAAGGTATCAGTGTTAATATCACCAATATGAGAAAGGATTAACAATATCTAACATCCAAATTCCAGTCAAAAAGACTTATCAAAGTCAAAGCATGCAGATTTTCAGCATAATAATACTCAAGATCGAATTAGTCTCCTTTCATTTTTTTTTTTTTGGGGAAGAGAATTTTCAGAATATTCTCAGAAGGGTGATGGACTAAGTTGTCTGAAGCAAATAGCAATCATGTTATGCAGTTTAGAATACTAATAGTACTTGGTGTGTGCATAGTAGATGCAGTCAATCACACCAACAAAAAAATGAGGACATTTTTCAGATGTAGATTCTTCCCATTTTTAAATAACTTCCACTCCACAACATCATAAAATCAACAAAAAATAGACTGAGATATTTAAATAAATTCACATAAGAATTAACAAATCAAACAATACTTGACTATGAAAGAGTTCACAGAGTTGCTTAAGCCTTTCACGTCTTTGGGAGAGCGCACAAAATATCGCCTCAAGAGTTCCATTTTCATGTCATGCAGGGAATCATGCTTGGGTATTTCAAGCTGGATCTGGACCTGACAATAATTAACATCATCAATGATGAACTGCAAATACATTATTAAATACAGATTAAACAATCATCGCAATGTTTAGAGGGCACACAAACATGTATAGTGTATACTCATTTCAAGGACATACAACTGTTCCTCCTGACAGTTAAAAAACAATCACAGAAAGAACTTCAATGTGAAAGGAGAAAAGGGAATGAAATAGAATTTTATAACTGAGAACTATGTTTAATATGACATAGAAAGGAAAGCAATGTCCATTGCATTTTTCCTATGTTTAGTTGGATATAAACAACGCAAAGTTCACATGCCTCTTCTAAGGCGAGATTGTTGTATCTAGTCCTTAGTGTTGTTGGAAACTTTGAATCTATCAAAAGACAACAGCAAGACTTAGCAAACATTGCAATCCAATCTCATCTCACTCTTACGCATTAATGCATAAGTGTGTGTGTGTGTGTGAGAGAGAGAGAAAGAGTTTCTTGCTTTGACAGTCTATTTACTGCCTCTTCCACCTGGTATTCAAGCATAGCTGTTATTTATATTTTGGTTGTAGATCCCTTTTTGATCTGATTCGCTTATATTGGGTTGATTTCTGGCCCCAAATTCTCTGTTTTGAGGCACAGGAGTTGTTTTGTTTGGTGTAGTGCACTATTCCTGGTTCTATTTGATGTGGTTGGGCACTGTTTGTAGCTCTGTTTCAGGATTTTTTTTTTCTTTTATGTTTGGTACTTCCTTCACTTAGATTGCAGAAAGTAGAGCAATGGTTATGCCTGATGTTGTTCGTGTGATGTCAACAATCACAGACCATAAGTTGCATTGATCGAATTATCTGAATTCAAGCTACACAGTTTGGATTTACTTATGAAGCATTGAGAAGGATGATCATCTTATCAAAGATCCTCCTAAAATTGGTACAAAGCACTTGCTGCTGAGATGATTATTCTGGAATCATCATGACCTGTTAACAAATCATCATGTTCATGGGTATGAGGTATGTAGCATTTTTATCTCATGAACTTTAAACGAACTTACGTGGAATTTAATATGCCATCACTTGGCAATCTTTTGCACTGTTCATCCACTAGAGTTTAAGACTATTAAGGGCTTATTTGGTTTTGTTCTCATTTTTTGTTTTTAAAAACTCTTTTGCAAACTAATTTTTTTTAAAAAAATTCAAAACAAAACAAAATGAAATTTTGTTTGATTATGTTAATTTGAAAACAATTTTAGAAATAAAAGCAACCAATAGTGGTATAGCCAATAGTTAATGACGATGGCCTATAATAATGATTGGTCATAGCTGTGAAGGTAATTTACAATAATCAAATGTAGCATGCTTTAAAAATAAAAAAGAACACGCAATAACTCTAATTTCTATTTTAAAAAAAAATAAAAAATGAGAACAGTTTTGATAATATTTAAATCTAAAAAAAATTACCCAAACAATTTTTGTTATTTTTTTCATTTTTAAAATTAGAAAAGATAAAATCTGTAATGAGCATATATGAAAAAGGTGAACATGACATCTATTCAGGAGATGATAAATTGTTTGAGATGGTTTGGATATGGATAGAGAAGGCTATCAAAGGCAATGGTGAGGAGAGTGGAACAGATAACTTGAGACCTATAAAAGGATAAATAAAGACCAAAGAGAACACTCAAGAAAGTTGTTAATCAAAACCTTTTGGTTAGCAATATATCTAAGGCTTGGTTATTGATAAAATACAATGATGTCACACAATCTATGTAGCCGACTCCATCTGGTAGGATAAAGCTTGTAGTTGTTGTTAAGAACAGAAAATGAAAACAGTTTTTTTAGGTAGAAATCAAACCAGTCCCAAGTCTCCAGTTCTCTTTGGATCTGAAATTTCCTCCTGCAAGACGCATTGGCTGGAGTACTTCATAAAACAGGGTTCTAATTAGCTCAATCTACCAACAATAGTGCCCTATAAGTTGTGGTGGTAAGAACAATAGACGTGAAGGCGTTGATAGTGACAATCAGAAGACAGGAGTAACAATGTCACAGCTGCCAGAGTTGTGTCATATCAAGTGCAACTATAAGAAGCTTCAGAATAAACAACAAAGAAATTAGTGAGCACATGTCGGAACATCTCCTGAAAAGATTGTTATGGCCTCTCCTAATGAGTTTACCTAATTTGCTAAGTATAAGGAATAATTTAAATCAACCACTGCTATAATAGAACAAGGTTAATACACTACACATCTTATCTCTTCCAAAAGGTCCTTGATTTTGGTGCCACAGATCACATGAACGACAACCAAGTCTCTTTTCCACTTTTCAACCACATGCCAATATGCTTTAACGTTACTTAAGCTGATTGGTTAACTTTTCTTGTTATCAGCTCCAGAACTTGTAATCCAACTTCATCACAATGTTGAGTTTATTTGACTTTTCTTTTAATCTCATTTCTATTAATAAACTCACATGCACCCTGATTTTTGTTATCTTATTTTCGATAATCATTGCTTGTTTTAGGATCTTATGAAGGGGATTCTTTGTAAAGGTCATGAGATTAGTGGGCTTTACATTCTTGATGCATAAATGCCTCAATTGGTTATTGTCCTGTGTTTTGACCCATTTTAGACCAATTGTCAGTCAGGCCAATTTTTTTTTTTTTAAATGTCTTCTATAGAGAAACTATATCCTTAGTTTTAGCACTTACCGCCTTTGGACAATAAGCCTCGTTAGTTTGCTAAACATCATTGTCTTCTATTTCTAGAATCAATAAACAGGCCACATCCTCGTGAGTTAGTTCATTTTTCTTGAGGTCCTTTGACCTATTAATGTTTAAACAAGGCCATTTTATTAACAAGCAAGTTGAAGTTGTAGGGATAGTATCGGCACAAAATGGCTAAGAAAACTTAACTTGAAAGGTAAGTTCTTGTGCAACTTTAACCAAATGTATACGCATATGTCAAAGCATGAAAGTGACACCAAACTAGGTGTAGTTCGAAGCTCCATGTGCTGTAGTTAATCACTAAAATCAAAGGCCCTTGATTGTCCCAAGTTAGGTGGCTAAAGCTAATTGTCACTCTATGGAGGACCTAACTTAACCCCAAACAAACAATACACTCATAAAAATGGAAGAAGCAATGCGGCAAAAATTTTTGGTGATAGCTCAGATACCATATGAATGAATCAAAGAATGGAAAAATGCTTTGACATATTATTCATAATAATATGCCTATTTATACATGATAGAGGCTCCAAGGAATTAATTGCTGATAATGATAAATGACAAGAAACATTGCTATAATAATTACAAGGATCCTATACTAATTACAAAATCATCAAGTCAATCCTTATTCTTTTTCACCCATGTGCATAGATAAGATAGACAAATTGATAGAACATGTGATAGGAAGGTAGATTAGAGATTAGTTAGAATTGTGGGAAAGAATAGCACCTGAGACCAATTTAATGCCGAAATCATGTGAAGTCTCAATATAAAATACCCTTGTGCTCATTCACAGAACATAAGTAATGATGGACATGCCAAGATGAGAAAAAAACTCCATCACCCTACAACAAACCCTCTTATAACATTACTTGACATTCAATTACAAGGATTACCTCATCGTAATTGTTGTAAGGAAGTGTAAAGCCAAAGTCCAGCATCAAGGTAGTATTAGAAAATTTTCCATATCTTATTAATACCTGAAACAAAGAATCCAATAAAGCCTCTTATCTGCAGGTAGTTGGAATATCAATTATTTACTCCGATGAGCCCACCACCCATAAGTTGGGCCAAGTGTATGAGAGGAAGAAGAGTAAAACAACAAAGAGAGGCCCATTACCAACCCAGAAGAGAGTGACCACAATTAGTTTTTCAGGGTTGAGTGCCCTAGGGAGAGGCAGATTGGAAGTATTAAGTCTTGGGAGAGCCTCTGACCCCTCAAAAGTCATGGAAGTCTTTTCATTTATGTATTTCATCTACTTTTTATTCATTCAGCACTGAAGCCCTGGATTAGTTAATGTTCTGCTGTTCTTCTCTTCCACCATATCGAAGAGGGTTGTATTAACTAATCTTTTATATATCGGAAAAGTATCTTTGATGCTCCATCATTTTGGTATCAGAGGAAGAGGTCAGTTCTCAGGACATGATTAATACCAAAATGGAAGCAAGAATAGAGGAGGTAGAAAGAAGTCTAGATGAGTTACAGAAAGCTAATTTGGATGCGAGGGAAGAGAGAACTGCTATGTAATGATTGTTGACTCAGCTACAAGAGCAAAACACTGACATATTGGCATTGTTGTGGAATCCATGTCATAATGTTTAACAACCAGAGCGTCAACCTAACAGAGGTGAGGTTCCTGGAGGTGATGGGAGACCAAAAACTGAGACTGTCAATCCTGAAACATGGGACAATGGCCTAGGATTGGAAAATCGTGACAACCTTGAGAGGGATATGCAGACATATAAAAAGCTTGAGATGCCCTTGTTTGACAAGGAAGATCCCCTTGGATGGACATTTAGAATGGAGCGTTATTTCGCTGTTAATAACATACCAAAAGCAGAAAAGCTTGATGCCACTATAGTAGGACTTGAAGGCAAGGCCATGAACTGGTTTCAGTGGACAAAGATTCAAGCACCCATTTCGGATTAGAGGGAGTTTAAGATTGTTGTGATAGAATGCTTTCACTGCAGCCAAAGTGGAGATAATCACAAGAGGTCAGCAGTGTTGAAGCAAGACAAAACTATGTCAGGGTATAGCCGTATAGGGAAACATTTGAGATGCTATCAGCAACTTTACCTAAGGTTCTTGAAAACTCATTAATGGGCCTGTTTTTGAATGGGCTTAGAGATGAGATTAAGGCTGACGTTCAACTACTAAAACCCAAGACTGTTAAAGAGCTTATGGATGTCGTGTACTAGGTAGCGAGGAAGAACTTAACACTGTAGAGGGTTGAGGAGAAAAAGGGTAAAAATAATAAAACATGGGCTTGATGAAGTGGCCCAATGTTCAAGCCCCCAATGCGAAATATTCTAATCTGATTGAGAGCCCAAAGAAAGTTCAGAATGCCGCACCCCATCGTGCGACAGAAATGAACGAACCAGAAAGGCCGAGGGGGATGCATATGACGCCTACATCTGCGATCACTACATGCAGTAATGAGAGCAGCAACCACGCCCAACCTAAGCGACTTACTGAGGCTGAATTGAACAGGAGGCGAGAGATTTGGGTTATGTTTTAAGTGTGATGAGAAATATGGGCCCAATCATAGATGTAAGGGGAAGCAGTTTCAGTTGTTAATAATCAATGAAGAAGAAGAGGACGACATAGACAAGAGAGATTTTGTAGAATTGGAGGATGAAAAGAATGACAAAGTGATGGAGCAACGATGGCGGGTCTCTTTGGGCACCGAACGATGAAGATTAAAGGGATGCTCAAGAGTCGCCCAGTAATTATCCTTATCAACAGCAAGGCTGCGCATAATTTCATCACGCACCATATCGTGACAGAATTGGCAATAAAAGTTACGCACACTTGCTTCTATTCAATTACTGTGGGAGATGGCTAAAAAACCTATTCTAAGGGTGAGTGCAAAAAATTTCAAGTTGATTTGCAAGGAATCAAAGTTTCACAAACCTTCTACCCATTTCATCTCTTTAATATCAACTTAGTACTGGGAGTAGCGTGGTTGGAAACACTAGGGGAGACAAGAGTCAACTGGGGTCAATTACACATGAAAGTAAAAGTGAGAGATAACTGGCTTTGTTTAAAAGGGGACCCTACCCTTAATCTCAAGTATCATCAGGGAAAACGGTGTGCTTGTTAGAGATTAATGCCTTGGAGGTCAGAACCCAAAAGAAGCACGAACGGAAGGACCAACGACTGCTACACAGCAATTACTTAAGGAATTCCAGGTTGTAAGTGAACCCATGCAAAGGTTGCCACCACATAGGCATGCAGTCTTAGTCAAAGGAGCAAAACATCCAAATATAACACCTTATCGTTATGTAGCAGGGCACAAAAATGAGGTTGAGAGACTTACGAAGAAAATAATTCAGCCCAGTAGCAGCGCTTATTCAAGCCCAATCCTCTTAGTCAACAAGAAAGATAGGAGTTGGAGGTTTTGTGTAGACTATAGCCCCTCAACAAAATCACTATACTAGATAAGTGCACGATCCCTGCTATTGATGAGTTACTTGACAAATTGGGTGGTGCCACTGTTTTTTCTAAGCTGGACCTAAAATCTGGGTATCATCATATTCGCATCAGGCTTGGTGATGAGTGAAAGATGGCCTTTCGGACACACGATGACCATTACAAATTCTTGGTGATCCTTTTCGGACTCACCAACGCTCCTACATTTCAGTCCCTTATGAACAATATTTTTAGAGAGCACCTGTGGAAATTCATACTTGTTTTTTTTTTATGACATCCTTGTATATAATAAGGATGAAGCTTCCCACATGGAACGTTTGAGGGTAACTCTTGGGGTATTGCAGCCCCACCAGTTAGCGATCAATCCCAAGAAATGTAGTTTCAGACAGCACCAACTTGAGTACCTTGGTCATATTATCTCAGTCGAATGTGTCAAGTGGCCTGTTCCCAAGGATGTTCGTAGTTTGAGGGGGTTCCCAGGCCTCACCAAGTACCACTGTAAGTTCAAAAGGGATTACGGAAAAATTGCAGCACCTTTAACCGCCATGCTGAAGAAGAATGCTGTTCAATGGCATAATCAGGCTCAAGAAGCTTTTGAAAAATTGATGAGTGCTATGATATCAGCCCCAGTACTAACTTTACTAGATTTCCATGTTCCCTTTGAGATAGAAGCGGATGCTTGTGGGACGGGAGTTGGAGCTATGCTAATGCAGCGTAGTAGGCCAATTGCTTATTTTAGTCAGCAGTTACTGAGAGAGCCAAACAAGGATTATTATACGAGAAATAACTTATAGCAATTGTGATAGTGATGAAGAAATGGCAGCACTATCTAGCTGCAAAACCATTTACAATCAAAAATGATCAAAAAGCTCCTAAGCATCTGCTAGAACAACGCATTATTGCTCCGTATCAGAAAGGTTGGGTATCTAAACTTATGGGTTATGAATTTGACATCTAGCACAAACCAAGGAAGGAAAATAGGGCAGCAGATGCTCTACCCCAAAGAGATAATTATGAAGTTGCATTGAATGCTTTTTCCATGTGGCAATATGCTGATTTGAGTGAGTTTGAAGCTGAAATAGCCAAAGATGAGAAGTATGACATATGGCACCAATAGGGAAAGATGCTCCAGTGGGGTATTCCATTAAAAATGGGTGCTTGATGTATCAGAACAGGTTAGTTGTGCCAAAGCAGTCCCCAAAAACTACTGCATTAATCAGAGAATTCCATAATTCACCTCTTTGGGGCCATTCAGGATACTTGCATACTTACAAGCATTTGTCAAAAGTAGTATATTGGGAAGGGATGAAGAGGGATGTCCAAGAGCAAGTGCCTAGATATGATGTGTGCCAACACAACAAATATGAAGCTCTTAGCCCTGCTGGTCTGTTACAACCACTACCTATTCCCTCACAAGTGTGGGAAGATATTATCATGGATTTCATTATTGGGCTTCCCAAATCCAGCAGGTTCGAAACTATCATGGTAGTGGAGGATCGCCTCTCAAAGTACGCACATTTTATTCCTCTTTCTCATCCTTTTACAGCCAAGGATGTTGCTGAAGTTTTTTTATTAAAGAAGTGGTTAAATTGCATGGGTTTCCTAAGTCCATCATTTCAGATCGCAACAGGGTCTTTGTAAGCCACTTTTGGAAGGAATTATTCACACATTCTGGCACTACCTTGAAGTATAGCTCGGGGTATTATCCTTAAATGGATGGGAAGACCAAGGTGGTTAATCGTAGCTAGGAAACTTATCTACGTTATATCACTGGAGAATCTCCAAAAACTGGCTGAGGATGCTGCCATAGGCTGAATTTTGTTTCAATACTTACATTCAACAGATCCATTGGCACTACCCCCTTCAAGGCCCTGTAACAGACGAGATCCTCCCACAATTTTAAGTGGCAAGATGATCAGTCAATGGTAGAGGAGGTTAATGAGCGACTCAAGAAGGAGAGGAATGAGGTGCTGAATGTCTTAAAGTCTCACCTAGAGAAAGCACAGCTTCAAATGCGACAGCAAGCAGACAAGAAGCATAGGGACGTTGAATTTGCTGCTGGAGATAGAGTCCCTTTGGGCATACAATCATACAAACTAAAGAAATTGGCTTAACGCCAACATGAGAAGCTAGTGCCCATTATTATGGTCCTTATGAGATCATTCAGAAGATTGGGAAGGTGGCCTACAAACTCAAATTACCTGATTCAACCGGCATACACCCAGTTTTTCATGTTTCTCAACTCAAAAGGTCAGTTCACAACATGGAAGTGGTCCAATAACTCCCTAAATTCTTATCAGAAGAATATGAACTGCTAGTACAACCCCAAGACATCGTGAAAGTGCGTAAGATGATAGATGGCAGCTATCAAGTGCTAATCAAATGGCATGATCTACCTGATTGTGACAATACTTGGGAGGATATGGAAACAGTTAAGCAGCAATTTCCGCAATTTTCCCTTGAGGACAAGGTGAATCTTTTTTTTTTTTTGGGGGGGGGGGGGAGGGTTAAATGATGAGCCCACTGCCCATAAGTTGGGCGAAGTGTATGAGAGGAAGAAGAATAAAACAACAAACAGAGGCCCATTACCAACCAGCCCAGAAGAGTGACCACAGTTAGTTTAGGGTTGAGTGCCCTAGGGAGAGGCAGATTGGAAGTATTAAGTCTTGGGAAAGCCTCTGACCTTTCGAAAGTCAGGGAACTCTTTTCATTTAGGTTATTTTATCTTCTGTTTATTCATCAGCACTGTAGCTCTGGATTAGTTAACGTTTTGCTGTTCTCCTCTTCCACCATATCGAAGAGGGTTGTATTAACTAATCTTTTATATATCAGAATAGCATCTTTGAGGCTCCATCATACTCTAAATTTTAACAACCACTGCAAATTAACAGGATCAGTAAGGGAAAAGAAAATAATTATTTCTCATCACTTTTAGTATCGTTCCAACCAAATTTTTTATAGGCCTCTATCAACAGATACGAATTTGGACCTGATCAAATTCCAGGATTTTTTATTTTTATTTTTGGGATAAAATGAGCTATTTTGAGTTAAAGAAAGATTAACCAAGCTTCCATAACTAGGCTTCTTAGTAATTCAGTTGGAACTTTATAATTATTGTCTACATAAGAGTGGTTTCATGATGCAGTCACCCTAACAAGTCTGCATTCTAACTTTTCTTATTCAGAGGTATTTCATTTTTAATCTTCTCTTGGAAAACTTTTAGAATGATAGAGAACTGTGCAACACCACTAGATGTTTAAGCAACTAAAAACGGGGAATCAGTTGACAAATCCAAAATTTTTAGTATAACTAAGAAAGCATTTATACTGACCTGTTCACCAGGAGCATAGCCACGATCAGCTATAACCTGCGTGCATTAACAAAGCAAAATAAGATTGAATCAGAACATAAAAAAGGATTGTATGCTAGGAGATAAAATGTATTAGAAAGAAACTAATCACTGATGCAGTAAAGTTTTAATCAAATGATCATTTAAATAGACTCAAGTAACCATTGATGGATTTAGTGCATGACCCCAAAAAAAAAAACAAAAACAAAAGTGGAGGGGAGAGAGGGAGACAACTTCTGAGTATTGTTTGTCATCATCACTCATTACAATTGCTTCTGAAACTCCATCGTGATTCAAGAAATCTGCAAACGGAATCTGCAAAGCAATCTTAGATAAATAATCAAGAGATAAACATGAAAGAGAATTGAAAAGGCATCCTGACAATAGCTATACCAGAGATAAGCCCTTCATGCTTCCCCATGCCCGACAACCAACTGTTGAAATACAAGTTTGGCAATCAATGGAATATAATAGTGAATTGGGTCTACAAGTGGTTATCAAAAATTTGTTTTGACCAATACACCTAAGCAGACATATTGAATTTTATTATAATCAGGAAGGCATATATCCCCCATACCAATTAAATAAATAAATAAATAAGATAAGATAAAAGCAGACAAACAATGCAATGAAGAGGGGGAATCAGACAAGCAAGGCTCTAGAACCCCATGGTGCAGGGAAAAGGAGGGAGAGGAGGAAAAGAACAAGAAAAAGCAAATGGTAATGAATCATTAATCGTTAAGTAAGAATTAAAACATAGATTTCCACACTATGACACAAGTGACAAATGCTGATTGTAATGAAGATGAACAGAATTATCAGGATATCATGACAAGCATTGTCAGCTCCAAAGCCATTAATAGAGAAAGCCTTCAGCTAAATAAAACTCCTCATTGACCACTATTCAAAACACCGTACTAGTCCTGGCTGGTTGGGCTGGACAAATTGTGAACGGGACTCTCCATGAATCAGTAAAGAACTGACCAAAAATCAGTGAACTTGACTGGTTCGAATAATCCATGTTTTTTGTTCTTTCATCTTGTTATCGAGTGTTGAATGCAATGTCGTTTTGGCTCCTTTCTGAGTTTTGCAAAGTGAAAAAGTTCTATTTGTCCCTTATCTTAGTATAAAAGATAAGTATATATTTGTGATTGAAAATTTAGTTGTAATGAGTAATATTGACCATACAATATAGTTTATTATGTAGTAGCATGAACTTATTTTGCATGTATTAAAACGTACATGCTAAAAACCCAGAGCTTTCCCTGGATTACATTACATTTACAACAGAAAACAGACCCATAAACAAGAAAACAATTTAAAAAAGAAGAAGAAAGACTCTAGCACTTCCATGGGCTAGGACCTCCACATGAATACCCAAGCTCTGCCTCTCAACCAACCTAACCAACTTCTATAACCTTCTCTTGTCAGCCTCCACATGTTTCCTCACCGTCACAATTCCCAATATGTCATGCAAAAAGTCAGTAGATACCTGCAGTCGGATTTCCACTAGCAGCCCCATACACCTCCCTTGCTTACATCATTTAATTTGGATTTTATGTTACTAGTTTATCGTTTTCCATCTTAGATTACGTATGTAATTTAATACTCCCTCCATTCCTAATTATTGGACAAAAGTTTTTAGGGTGGGGTATTCCTATTTAAAAGACAATTTACAGAATTTCAGGGGTAATTAATTTTTTTCCTGAGTTGCCCCTATTTAAATTTCTGAAGCATTTAAGGCTAACCAAACGCTAAGCATTTATTATGGGCAGAAGTGGAAAAATAAAAACAAGTTTAAGACATAAATTAGTTTAAATGATATGTGTGACTTATGTAATTTTGTCCCTTAATTAGGGATGGATTATATCATCAATATATCGTTGTGAGAATAATTACAGGAAAATTAGAGGGATAAGTCCCATAAAAATAGAGATTTGATAGGATTGGGTCATTAGGAGTAATATTTGATTTTATTTCCTTTTGTTTTTTTATTTCCTTTTATAGAAGATTATGATACGTGTATATATTCTGACCATATTACTGAATAAGATTCATTCGATTCCTTCCTTTGGCTTGTCTTTGACCACATGGTATCAAAGCACGCAGACGCTGAACACCATCACTCAGACGAAGATGACAAAGCCGACCGAGAGTCAGATTCACACACTCGACCCTCTGCGTTTATGGGTTTCGGTGCTGAGGCTGACTCGAAAATCACCCCAGATGGTGGAACTCCTCTCGAGTTGAGTTCTGCCGAGAGGGCGTCCCTTGTCCTGGTTTCCAAAAAGTTCAATGGAACCAATTATCGTGAGTGGGCCCAGAGTGTTCGACTGGCTGTTAGAGGCCACGGGAAGCTGGGTCTTATCTCAGGTACATCCAAACCACCAGACGTGTCTGACTCAGCTACCTTGGTGAAGTGGGAGACCGAAAATTTTCTGGTGGCTTCTTAGTTAGTTAACTTTATGACCCCTCAAATCAGATGGTCCTTTATGTTTCTCCCGACAGCACGGGATATCTGGGATGCATTCAAGGAGTCTTACTCGGATGGGGAAGATGGTACTTGAATCTATGATCTCAAAACTCGAAGTTGGCAAATCAAACAAGGTGAGCGTGATCTTATTGAATTCTGGTTGAAGTTAGTTTCAATGTGGCAAGAGATTGATCTCAACATAGAAACCGAATGGTCTTGTCCGAGTGATGCAACACGGTATAAAAGGCTTATTGAAGATGAGCGAGTATTTCAATTTTTGGCTGGTCTTCATCAATCATTAGATGATGTTCGTAGTCGCATACTGGCTCACTCTCCTCTACCATCTGCTCGGGATGCATTTGCTGAGGTTCGTCATAAGGCTTCTCGTCGCAAGGTGATATTACCTGGAATTTCATCAACCCTTCCTTCATCTGAGTTGTCTGCTTTAGTGAGCCGACAATCGGATCAAGGCCAAAAGGAATCAAGAGGAAAGGTTGTATGTGAGCATTGCAAAAAGACAGGCCATTCAAAAGATAAATGTTGGGACCTCCATGGAAAACCACTTGATTGGAAACCACGTAAAGGTAAATGTCGTGGCTATCAAACTACTCTTGATTCTACTTCAAACAAATCTGGTCCTACTCCAGACAAATCGTGTACCTTGCCTATCATTGACAAGGATCAGTTAATAAGCTTCTAGAGATGCTCCATAGTTTACAATCCTACTAGTCGCCTCCATCTCATAATGCTTCCGTTGCTAAGCAAGGTAATTCGCATTTTGCATTTAATGTATGTTCTACTAAATCAAAGTGAATTGTTGACTCCGGAGCCTCAGACCACATGACTGCAGACTCTACCTTGTTTACCTCATACTTTTCTTGTAGTGGCCATGAGAAAATTGACACGGCAAATGGTACGTCCTCTCCCATTGCAAGAAAGGGTAGTATCATTGTTTCTAAATTTCTACACCTAGACTCTGTCCTTTATGTTCCCTATCTTGCGTGTAATTTACTATCCATTAGCAAGTTGACTAAACAAGCCAAATGTAGTGCTCACTTCTTCTCTACTCATTGTATTTTCCAGGATCTCTCATCGGGGAGAATGATTGGTAGTGCTGAGGAGTGTGATGGGCTCTACTACCTTGATGAATCAACCGTGAGTAATCTATGGTCCCGAATCTACTGCAACCTTATGACTACTTCTGAACAAGCTGATCTTTTGTCGTGGCATAAAAGAATGGGTCATCCCAATGTCCAATATTTGAGCCATTTGTTTCCCCATTTTTCATCTAATAAAATTTCTAATTTTCATTGCGATATTTGTGAATTAGCCAAACATCATCGCTCTTCTTTTCCGCGGTCTAAATATAAGCCTTCTAAGCCTTTCTCTCTTATCCATAGTGATGTTTGGGGTCCATCTCGTGTCTCTAATCGAACTAGAGCCAAGTGGTTCGTTACCTTTATTAATGACCATACCCGTGTGTGTTGGGTATATTTAATGAAAGATAAATCTGAGGTACCTTCTATTTTTATCGAATTCCATACCATGGTTCTTAATCAGTTTAACACGTCCATCAAAATTCTCCAAATAGATAATGGCACTGAATATGTCAACAAGTCTCTAAGTGACTTCCTTAAAGCTCGGGGCATTATCCATAAGACCTCCTGTACAAATACACCCCAACAAAATGGGGTAGCCGAACACAAAAATAGATACCTGTTGAATGTTGCCCGTGCTCTTATGTTTACCACAAATGTGCCAAAATATTTTTGGGGGGATGCCATTCTTACCGCCACCTATCTCATTAACCGCATGCCAACAAAAATCCTATCCTACACCACACCCCTCGAGTGTCTCCGGCAGACCCACTCTCTCACCCATCTTGAAACCATTCTTCCATTAAAGTTATTTGGGTGTTCTGCATTTGTTCATCTCCATTCCTCTTCCAAGCTTGACCCACAAGCTGTCAAGTGTGTGTTTCTTGGTTACTCCTCACACCAAAAGGGATGTAAATGCTTCGATCCATCCTCTAAACGCCTACTTATCAGTCATGGTGTTACTTTTTCTGAATCTGAACCTTTCTATTCATCACCTTCAATTCAAGGGGAGAGTTGGAGTGAATTTCAGGAATATTCTCCCATTGAACCTATTGATTCTCTTGACCATCCCACTTTGCTTGAGCCTGTCTCTTTTATTCCAGAATCAAAAGAAAATGCAAGTTCAGGGGGAGATAAGAACACAGGTGCAGAAGGTAAAGAGATCAAAGTTTACACACGGAAGAAGAAGCATGGTACAAAAGCTCTCATACCTGAAGCAGTACCGGAATCAGAACCGATGACAGATTCTATGGGAGATAGTCCTAAAGAAGATGAGAATGATAATCCTGATGAGGAAGAAGGTTCAGAAAGTTCAGAAGATGACTTGGAGGTGCCTATTGCTCTCAGGAAGAAGCCAAGATCATGTACACAACATCCTATTCAGACGTTCCTATCTTATAAAGCCTTATCCCCAGGATATTGGGCTTTTATTGCGAATGTGGATGGTGGTTGTATCCCTAAGGACATTCATGAGGCCCTGAAAATGTCTAGATGGAGAGAAGCTATCTTGGAAGAAATGAAAGCCTTGGAAGAAAATGAGACCTGGGAGGTTGCGCAGAAACCAAGAAACAAGAAGCTGGTTAGTTGCAAGTGGGTATTTACCCCTAAATATAAGGCTGATGGAAATCTTGATAAATTGAAGGCTAGACTAGTGGCAAGAGGGTTTACACAAACCTATGGCATTGACTACCAGGAAACATTCGCACCAATGGCAAAATTGAACACCATCAAAGTATTGTTATCTGTAGCAGCCAATCTTGAATGACCGTTACACCAACTAGACGTCAAAAATGCCTTCCTAAATGGAGAATTGAAAGAAGAAGTTTATATGACTTTACCTCCTAGTTTTGATAAAGGAAGGGAGAATCAGGTATGTAAATTGAAGAAATCATTATATGGGTTAAAACAGTCTCCAAGAGCATGGTTCAATAGATTCTCAAAAGTTCTAAAGCTACAAGGCTACAATCAAGGACTATCGGATCATACTATGTTCGTTAAAGTAGAAGGGGGCAAGAGGTGTATCCTTATTGTATATGTTGATGAAGTAATCATCACTGGTGATCATAATGAGGAAGCGACAAGAATAAAGGCTGTTCTTGGAAAAGAATTCAAGATTAAGGACTTGGGTTGTCTGAAATACTTCTTGGGAATAGAGGTTGCAAGATCAAACAAGGTATTTATGTGTCTCAAAGGAAGTATGTACTTGATCTCTTAAAGAAGACAGGTATGCTGGGGTGTAAACCTGTTGAAACCCCTATTGTTGTTCCAAAGAAGAGGCAAAAATCCAAGAAAGAAGAGGGCAATTCAGATGAAGAGGGTAACTATGTTGAGGAAGAAGAAGATAAAGAGAAAGAGAGGCCAACAAATAAAGAGAGACACCAAAAGCTTGTTGGGAAACTTATTTATCTATCTCACACACGACCTAACATAGCATTTGCTGTGAGTGTTGCTAGTTAGTATATGTGTGAACCAAAGGAAAAACATATGGAAGCTGCATACAGAATCCTAAGGTACTAAAGGGAAATCCTGGACGAGGTTTATTGTTTCAAAAACATGAACAAAGGAATATAGAGGTGTATACAAATGCAGATTGGGGTGGACATCACCAAGACAGGAGATGTACTTCTGGGTATTGCTCATTTGTATGGGGAAATCTAGTTTCTTGGAAGAGTTAAAAGCAGAGAGTTGTATCCAAAAGCAATGCTGAATCTGATTTGAGAGCTCTTGCTCAAGGCATAATGGAAGAATTGTGGCTAAAAAGGGTTCTAGAAGAAATCCATGTCCAACTTGATCTGCCTCTCAAACTATATTGTGATAATAAGGCTACCATAAGTATGGCATTGAATCCTATTCAACATGAGAGGTCCAAGCATGTGGAGATGGACAGACACTTTATTAGAGAGAAGGTGGAAGATGGAATTTTATGTCTAGCCTTCCTACCGACAAATCTCCAAGCAGCAGATGCGTTGACAAAGGGGTTACACAAACTCGCTTTTGATAATTGTATAAGCAAGTTGATAGAAAATACGGCAAATATTACTTTAGGAGGAAATAATTTATTAGTTCTTTATTACTTTTCATTAGTTTATTAGTTTTTGTTGCTTTTCACTTAACTTTTGTAAGTTTCCTTCTTGTGAAGGAAACCAAGCAGCAAGTGGACGTTTCTTTGTTAGGAAGGAAACCTCATACTTACAAATAGCATGACCTGTGTATTCAGAAGGCATGAAAAACGAATGAAGTTATTTGATATATTCTGAAAACTCTCTCCCTCCAGTCTACGCCCTACCCCTCTCAGTTCTTCCTCCCTCCAGTCTTCAGGCCCTTGTCCATCCCAAGTATCATCTATGTCATCAGAATGATGATTGGTAAACTCATGAAGAGATGGTCTACTATGTCTTTCACCCATAGCTCTAGAGGAATGACCAATCCTAAGGGAATTACCTCTAAGTTGATTGTGGACTAGGAATTGCTCATTTCTAAGACTTGACTCTCCTCTAATGATAGGTCTTTCGAGTAACCCTTCAGTTGTTTTCCCTGTATCTTGCTTGTATGTCAACTGAATTGCCCCCATTATCTCTTCAAATTTATTGTTCATGAATTCTTTCATTTCATCTAGCCACTGGTCCACATATGCCCTTTGAGTCCTTTCAGATTCCTCAAGATGATTTTGGGTGATTTGGGAGTTAATGGCCATGGCAGATTTTAGGGCAGTAATTTCTTGATCTAATAAAGCTTGCTTATCATAAAAATAACATGTAGATGTATCCATGCTTAATAACATGTAGGCATATCCATGCTTAAAAATGTCAGCATGGACACATCAACAATCCTGAAAATATAGATGCATCCATGCTTAATAACATGTAGACAACAAATGGTATAGATAATCCTCCAATTAACATAAAATAAAGCCAAGATAAAAGATTTTTCTTCCCTTTCTCATGCATAGAAATCAATCACAAATCACAATGACTGCAACCATGATATAAAAATGACATGCTTGAGCACAACACCCTTTCAAGTGCATTGCTTACCAAGCGTGCACGCGTGCATGAAATCCCTGAAAGTAAATTCTCCAAAACTTTTAAGGAGGCTTTCGAAAACCTGATTTAAAGAAAATATTTCGTCAAATTCAGTCTCAGTAAACTGGTAGCTTCAATAAAATCTCACTACCCGTCCATTAAAACATTAAACATACAAATATAAGTTATGGTCTTGGTCTCGCCAGAGTAGATATAAAATACTCTGAAAGTACCCAAGTAAAAATGTCTTTAACTAGGACAAACTTTAACCTAGTTTATATCCATCTGTCAAAGATTAGTTGTTGGGTTGTCTAATCATTTTAATAATACTGAAGAAATGTATTTCGTAATATAAAACAAGTACATTAAAAAGCAAGTTATATTTATCATCGAGAAACCTATCTAGCGGTCGTTTGGTATGAAGAATGAAATTAACAAGAGAATTTGCCGATGAAAATGATTTTAACCCCTTAATTTGAGAGAGAGCTCTAGGAAGAGACAAATACTATTAAGTGATGATAACTGGAAGAGACAATAAATGACGTCATTTACTGCTGCACAGATAAAGAAAAAAATTGGAAGAATGACAATTAAGTCTTCAACAAATTTTTTTAAAAAAATCAATTGTAAATATTGATTCAAACAGTTACAAATTTTAAATACAATTTTTAAATTATAAATATAACAATTAGTTTGCAATTCAGATTTCTATTTATAAATATTTGAATTGATATTTACAATTTATTTTGCAGAAAATTTTATCAACACTTAATTACATACATTAATTCATCCTTTTGGAACTTTATTGTCATTCTCCCAAAAAAATTTCTCCTCGTTTCTGAGTCATCATATCATGCAGAACCAAAACTTTTCTATCCATCACGTTGATGACTAATGACGAAACATTACCATACCATGGTATAAGACATGATGCAAGTTCAAACATGATTGATCGTTAGAAAAACAACTGAGACTCTAATAAGAAGTAAGTGAAATACTCACTGGTCTGATTGCCAAAAAGTCCTTCTCAATTTGAGACTTTTGATTGATAGTTTCCTGATACACTGAGCTTATCCGAATCATGTCCAATTCACTTTCACTCCAAAATATCTAGATAGATTTAACACAAATCACATTGAAGATCTTGGGGATTGCTTTTATCTGAGAAGTACATATAAACATTCAAATCAGAACTCATTTAACGATTCCTGCAGAGTTCCTTTAAGAAGCCATAGTCCTTTTATTTTGGCTGATAGAGGCAATGTGTATTTTGTTCCAATAGCCTAGTCTTGTCACTTTTTCTTCTGTTTCTTCTCAAGTATTTTGGACTTGCCACTTTGATTCAACAAAAAAAAAAACTCAATTACAAAATCCATAAACCTAATCAAGGATTAATCAATTTAAAAAATTTGAAATTGCATAATAAATAGGGAAACTGGTTTCTAATTTTAAGTGAAAACAGCTTTTCAATGTGATACAGCACGCACATGTAAAAAGTGAGAGCGGCATGCAAATAAACATTTGCTTTTTCTGGAATATTAAAGCTGCTGACAATCTGGGAGCATCATTGCCAATAATTTCTTGCCCCTAAATCAGAAATGCAATCGCAGTCAATTTCTCCACAAAAAAAGTAGACCTAAAATGAAGAATGGATTCCAAAATCATTTACAATTTCCAATATCTCATGTACCTTGGTTGTGGCACCTAAGAAGCATCGATAGGGGTACAAGTATTGGATATTTGCAAGTTTTCCACTTGATGAGCCAATTTTAGAGAAAGAACTTATAGGGGAGTCTTGTAATAACATTGAAGATAAGGAATAATTTAAATTTATCCTCATCAATGACATTGACATTTTGAAACGTACTTTGTAACACTTACATGTATTTTGTTTCATCTTGCCATTTATGACACTTTGAAATGGCTAAGCACTTTTAATAATTGAATTGTTGCTTACATATGTGTGTGTACATATATAATTTTTTAAAAATATTTATATATTCCCTGTATCCTAAAATTTTTAAAATTTCTGTATCTATCATATCATGTTGTACCATATCTGATACTCATAACCATATCGATGTTTCTTATTGATACGTGAGAATTAGGAGATAACTCCAGAATAGCCAAAAATTCACATGTTCCCTAATTTCTGTTTCATTGCCTTCTAAATCGTTGTTCCTCCTCAATTCCACTACATCGTTTTTCTTGACCTTCTCCTTCCAGCTTCCTCTTCTGTCCATATCTGTCTTGAAGATAGGCAAGATACATCACACTAACAAGGGTGCTTGGATTGATGCCCTTAATAATTTCTTCGATGTCTGATCTAAGTCCTCAAAATGAAGACTCTAATCACAGTAAACTAGGGTAGCTTTGTTTCTAGCAGAAAAGCTTCAAATTTGCTCCAATAATCTCACATTGAGGTTACTCTGCCATCTTCTTACTGCCATATGGATCACTTTTCCGGTGACAGTCACCGGCGGCCAGAAAGCTAGCTTTGATACCATTGTTATGTTGTAATGTAGAAAAGAGAGAAAAATAACCACGACACGAAAATTACGTTTCACCTCTCACCAGATACTGCTCGCATATCTTCTGACCCTATTTATAGAGCTGCTGAACCAAATTACCAAACTACCCTTTCCCCACAATTATCCTAATTACCCCTAAGTTCCCAACAATTCCTTAACTATCCCCTAATTCCTATGTATCAGTTATGAGAAAGGCTAAGAAAACAGGCTGTCCCTCTGTGAGCAGGCAAGGCGAATAGACAAACTCAAGGAGAACAAAGTATAACATTCTTAGCATGATGCCTTGCAGTTTAGCACAATTAAGATGCTTCAAAAAGAACGGAACTCTACTAAAATAAAAATTAAAAAAAAAACAAAGAACAGACACCGAAAAAAACAGAAAATACAGAAAAGTAAGAACACTTACTGTATTATGCAGCTGTCCTTGCTGAGGAAGACAGCTGATATATGGGTCCCACTCGGAGTCCTATCAGAGAGAAATAGATATTGCATATATAAGCTGCGAAGTTTCCTCATATTTCTACCAAACACAATGATATTAAAATATGCAAGAGCAAAGTTCCTGAATAGAGATAAAGTTTTATCATAGAAATTTGATATTATGGTTACCCGACCCAGTTTCTGCTCAACTAGAATAACAGCAGCAAGTTTTGAAATATTTCCAACTTCATTGCTGATCAAAGATCTGATTTCTGGGAGTAAATTATCCACACTTATTTGCTGCAAAAACAATTAGGAGTACTATGATGAGCAATTTGCCATGATAACAGCAGAATAACTATTACTCTCTCTGTTCAAAAATGTAAAGCATTTTTTGAGGAGTTGGATATTAAAAAATGTAAGGCATTTTTAGCCTTTCGAGGTATAATTATTGCCTTTTTTCCAAAGTGCCCCTATTGATAATGACTTTATATTTATTGTAGGGCAGTTAATAAGGGTAAATATGAAAAGATAGGGTTAGTTTGAAAGTAGGTAGCTACTTTATTAGGGGTGATATTCGGTTAAAAATGCCTTACATTTTTGAACGGAAGGAGTATGAAATTTTAGTAAGATCTAACAAAAGCATACCACGGCATAAGGAACTTGTAAAATGCATTCTCCAGGGTGTATAATCCTAGAGGCAAACAGAGACCTACATCCAGGTACATTTCAAGGTTACATAAGAAGTCAGCATTTGATAGATAGACCTGATTTAACCTGAAGTAAGGAGATAAAATATGATACACCAATGTACAGAAACGTTTTCTAAAGTCTTGAGTGTGTATAATCCTATAAGCAAAAAGAGATCCTGGTGCATGGAACAGATTAAGACATGATATAGGAAGAGGTAACATTTGAAACATCAATGTATAGAAGAATTTACCACAAATATTCTTTCTAGGAAATTATTTTATTAATTAAATCCACAATAGCGTGTAAATAATACACCATAAAAGTACGTAGCTACATGCATTGATAAGCTATAGTATACCTATGATAAAATAGACACACGCACCAAATTGAAGATAAAGATGGAATTTTGACTAGTAGAATGCCTTTAGTTAATCTAACTTCATTTAACAATTAAATTTGAATCTAGACGTTGAAAATTTTAAATTAAATTAAATCATTTAATTAGAAGTTTACTGTTTCCGTATTCTACTTTTAATAATTTTTCTTTGGCCCCAGTAATATAGACATTTAAATTGGAAATGTAGTCTGTAGGAAAGATAAGAAGAGGTTTGCAAGGATGATTTTAAAGTGAAAATGGGACATATCATCTTTTTAGTTTTCTGCAAAACGTGCCATAACAGTGTCATCTTCATGGACAAAGTAGACCAATGTAAATACAGTGTAAAGCACCCAAAAAAAAACAAACAAACAATTTATCAATAAAAAATCTATAGCGATTCTGCAAAAGCAGTAACTGATTTAACTTTGAACAGTACACATTCATAGACAAGACATTTACTGGAAAAGACCAAAATATTGGAACTGAAGCTGCTTACAGGATAGAACTTCTCTGGCAAAGACAAACACCAATGCATAAGGTAAAAAGCATCCAACCAATTTCTTTCAAACCTTACATATTTATTAACTGAAGCCAATTAATATCTATATACATTTTATAGATTGATTTCTCTTCCAAAGCACAAAGACTCGTACCTTCAAACAACTAATCCCAAAATAGTAGGGACTCAGTTCAGCTTACATTATTAGACAAGAAGCTGGCACTTCAACAAGCCAGAAACTAGCATACAGAATTCTTTCTTCATACACAAAATAGTCCCTAATTCGAATTTCACATTGAAAAACGACCCCGATACAATGAAATCAAATCATTCCAAAACAGAGAAACTGGAGAGAACCTGCCATACGAAGATTTCCCGATTGAAAGCGATGATGAAATCCCAGAGCCAGCTTTCCACTCTAACCATGGCAAGAAGCCTTCGCAATCGTCGTCCAAGACGCCAGAAACCTATCATCAAAAGAAAAAAGTTCGAGAGTAGGGGAAATTGAAGGTTCAGTGAAAATAAAGGTTGAAGAGAGAAATGGAGGAATATTCTGAACCTGAGGTTGGATTGAAGAAGAAAGGTTTAGGTGGAAAAAGGATGAATGGTGAGGATTCCGATGGGCGTTGGAAAGAGAACGTAGAGACCGCCTAAAGGTTGGAGTGCGAGGCCACAACAGCATCGTAGAGCCAGAGAAGTACAAAACGTTGTCTTATTGAAACTTATAAGGTACAAAAATGAAAGCCAAGTCCGAACTCCGAAGTATAGTGAAGTTTCAGACTTTTTCCCGGCCAAGATGATAGTTCTCGGCGTCGGAACTAGCCGTTTGCAGCCCAAAAAGGACGATATATATATATATATGTATATATATATCCACACGATTATTTGATATCCGAGATATTCAAAAACTAACTACGCACACAAAATGTCCTTGACTTAATTATGAATTTAAGAGAAATGAAATCATGTAGATCTCTCGTACGCCAAAGGTCTTTGGGTCTAGTAACACAGTAGAGAACTCACATATAAATATGTGCTTCAGGGGCGGGATGTGTGTTGGACGGATATATACAGGGTTAATAAATATCCTAAAGTTTAAACTATTATATAAATAATATCATAAATATTAAACTCTTAAAATATATAAAATATCCTTTCAACTTATAAATTCTAAATCTCTAAAACCCTTCGTTAAGTAGGAGAAAACAACTGTTACTTTTACAGTTGTAGAATCCTGTCATATATTGATATGACACTCATTTTAATTTTTAAAAATAATAATAATTTTCTTTAACTTGATGGAGGAGTTTTAAGTACTCGAATTTTTCAAGTTGAAAAATTTTTTTACACATTTTAAGAGCTTGAGGTTCAGAATATTATTCAAGCAATAGTTTAAGGTTTAAAATAATCATTAATTCATATATGTATTCCGAGAACTTATTAAGGTTAGGATATATTTTCAATCTCAAAAATATTACAAAGATGCCCCTCTAGTCTTATTTATAATGCAAAGAAAAGATTATTTTTCATCCTATTTATATGGTATTTTATTATTTTTTATGTTCATCTTTACCTTTTTACCCTTATTAAATACTAGAAATAATTATTAAAAAATAGTTTATTTTGTCCTTATTAGGCAGCAGATGTGAAAACATATTAAATTGTAAGATAAAACTAATGAAGTTTAATATTTTTTTTGATTCCATTAAAACATATTACAAGTGACTTAGTAAATTATATATTACTTATTAATAAAGTTTTTACATTAAAAACAAAGTTTGATCTACAACCTTATGGAGTATGAGACAAATCATTGCTAACTACTCCCTCTTTTTCTATATATAAAAAAATATATATATAACATAATTTAAAAAAGTTAGTTAATCATAATAATTATATCTGAAAATAAAACAATGAAACTAAAATGCTCTATATTAATCAACATAAACATGCATTAATTATTTCTCGTTAATATAAATTATGAGGGGTGATTTAAAAAATACTTAACAAATAGTTATTAAAATAGGTGATTTTTTTATATTAAAAAAATAAAAAGTAATAGCTTTTCTAACAATAAAAAATAATAGAGGGAGTACATTACTAACATAAATGACTACTTTAAAATACACACACACATATACATATATATATATATATATATATGAACCTTTTTTCGAGGCCTCTTTATCTCTGTCTTATAAATAAAACTTTTTGGCTCATTAATTATTATTATATATTGAAAGAATATTGATATCAAAATATAATCATATAAAGCTCTTTATTTTCCTAGATAGGAAAATATCAATTATTAAGCCTAGAAATCAATGATAGAAGATGAGAAAATGGGTTTACATGCTGAGTCCAGCCCGCCATAGGTTTAGTTGGGGCGGGAATGAATTTTTACAGCCTATTTCCAGCCCATTTTTCCCAATCTTTCAACCCATTTATTTAAATATGTTCAAATATTTTAAATATGTTGGAAAAATAAAAAGTCATTTTATAAAATTATTTTAAGAATATAAGAACAAAAAATAAAAGGTTTATTTGAAATTATTTTTATGTTATTATTCTGAAATTGATGTTTTGTAGAAGAGAACCCAAAAAAATGATGAAAATGTGTTTTTTTTTTTTTTTTTGCATTCTCTGTTATTCTCTAAAAGAATAATCCTATAATAATTAAAAGATATTTTTATTTTTCTATTCTATAAAATAACATTTTTTTGTTTACTAAATTTCTTTTTGAAAACACATTTTTAAATAAATTTATTTATTTTTATCCTGAAGAACAGAAAACTATTCCCAAATTGCCAAACAAACCCAAAATCAAGTCTTATTTTTTCCCCATAGTTTTCTCTCCTTTTTTTTTTTTCATTTCAAACTCGGTTAGCTCATAGAATCTGGTTTCCATGGGAGTGCAAGGAAGGTTTTCGTGCATGAATTGTGGGCTCCAAGGTTTGTTATGGTTCTTAATTAGTTTGTGCGTCTTGTGGTTGTATATCAATGTTTAGTTTCCGCCAAGTTGTTTTTAACTGTATATGAATAATACGCTCGTGTTTTTTTTTTTTATTCGTGTTGCATAAATTTGAGTATATATCAACAAGTCTTATGCTTTGTTTGGTTCGATTTCAACTACATGTAAAGGAATTACGTGTAATCAAGATACAATTCCCACCTCTGCTAATCATTTGGTTGCCATTTTGTATTGTAAAGCCTACTCCCTCTCGTCCTAATTACATGTAAATCAATATAATTATATTATTATTTAATATTAAAGGTAAAAATGAAGGCACTTCTCATTTTTTATGATATAAAAAAGAAAATTAATTTTTTTAAAAATGCATAAAACGATTATACGTTTTATATAATAAAGACATGATAGAGTATTATGTAGTGCATTCACTTTACCTTATATGTGGTGTTAGGAATTACATTTAAAAAAAAAAAAAAGAAAGCAAAAACCTATACAATCCCCATTCTCTACCATGAGTTTAGTCAAATATCCCTCCCTATCCTTTTCCTTCTTCACGCTTCCTTCTTCTTATGCTGGGAACTTCATCAGCTCCCCCCTTTTTCTTTTGTTCGTTTAATATTCAATTTATGACAATATTAAAAAAATATTATTAATATAATTTTATTTTTATTAAAGTGTCTTATATTTTAAGACGTTAAATTTTCTTTAAAATATCCTGTAATTTAAGACTGAGAGTATTTCCTTTACTACCATTATATTATTTATGATTTATTAAACCAAACGGGCCATTAGTTTCTCAATATCTTGCCGTCCAATGTACTTGTTTCACTAATATGTTTTTTTTTTGGACAGAGAAAAAACAATTCATTAAAAAAGTCACCAATACAAGCACTAATCATCCAAACCCAACAACAAACCCTTAACAAACACAAGTTCAAAATACCCCACAAAAAAACTGAAAGACACATCAATGATAAGACAAATTCTTTTGCACATCGAGAAGCTAGCCAAGGTGTAGTAGACTGTCCTATGTATCTTGAAGCCCATGATAATCACCATGGAAACGGCTAGAAGGGGTGGTAGTCTGACGACTTGCTCAAACACTGAGCCCACACCCTTATACCCCAAAGCTGCATTCATTAAAGCAGCATCAACAACCACTCTTAACACAAGAGGAAAAGAACAATATTGAAAGCCAAAAATAACTTTTAGGTCAACAAGGAACACCATAGGACTGAAGCAACAACACCCACAGCAAAGCCAAATGATTCACAAAAGGCAGTCTCTCTTATTAACAAACAAAAAAGACACAAACATAAGCTTACAAAGAACACTTCTGCTAACTACTAAGGGCAAAAAGATCTCTATCAGCACTACTAAGAGAGCCCTCAACCCTTGGTACTTGCACCAATTAATCTTCATGGCACTTTGGTGGCTATAAGCCAGCCACTTGAGCTCTCACAATATGCTTTTTCAAGACTTTTAACCATTGCATCTTGAATCATCATCAGGCAGATCATGAAACATAACTTGACAAACTCATCAAACCACAACCAGAGATACACACCAAATAAGATAGAATCAATAGAGAACACAACAATAACACGAGCACCATCCATGTTAACAACAAGCCTATATTCAATCAGGAAATCACTTAACTAGTCCATCTTCACGCATGGTTTCAGAAAATATAAAGACACATTCATCAATTCACACATAGCCAACACTTTTTCATTCTCACTCACTTTCTTGCACAACAGATCCACTATATTGATAAACAATCTCTATCGGTCAGGATGATTATTCAAAACTAGCCATTCAGTGAACAGAGCATACCTCACTTGCTGATTCAGACTCAAATCGTTCAATCTAACAGACATTGGAATCATCCAAAATAACTCCAAAAAATCCTTCATATAGCTTCGCAACTCACCATTGTTAAGCGTCACACTGATTCTGCTGATCGATACTGTAATAACCTTAATTTTTAAATTACACAAAATTTTATCTCAACTGATATTTTATTTAATTGTTTCAATTCTATGATAAATGAAGATTAGTGACCTAGTAGAATCTATGCTAGAAGCTTATCTGAAGGTTCAGAGTTTGAATCATATTGAGCAAAAGTTTGGTTTTAATTTGTTTTAAAGTTTGGAAAAAATTACCAAAGTACTTGTGTCTTTTATGTAATAATAGAAAAAGTTGTGCTACTTTTTGTCATGTTCCTAATTTTTCATTTTGTCTAGATTTTTCCTTCTCTTCTCGATCATTCAAATAACAGAGCAGTGAGAGAGGAAGGGATCATGTCGGTTCTTCACAGCTCTTCTCCTCTTCCCTGTCGCATCTCCTTCGACCTCACAGTCAGCTCTGTTCTTCCTCGTCGCCACGTCCGCTGCTAAGAGAGTACCGTCATCGAAATCTTGCCTTGCCCACCGCCCTATTTCTTTTCTATTTTTTCCTACTTAACTGCTGATCCTTTCTCCTTCTCGTCTCTTCGACTGCTCAACGATGTAAGCTTCTTCCTTCTTCGTGGCGTCATTTATGTGCTGGAGTATGGAATTCACCCTTCTTCTTCCTTGTTCGTGATGCTGTCATGGTTTGAAGGAATTTTAAATTTTTCTCTGGCTTTGTGGTGGTTGATTGAGGTGAGGAACTTCGAATTTTTCCCTTCCTTATTGATTTGTGTGTATAATTAAGCGATAAATATTGTAAAAAATTTTCCTTGTTCTTCACTCTGTTACCGCGTGCATTTAATGGGGAGGGCAAGTTGATATCAACTTAAAAATTTTAAAATTAAGAGTAAGATAAAGATGGATGGCTTTGGTATCCTTAGAGTTAAAATTAATTTTTGTTAAAGGAATTTATTGTGGGAAGCTGTATTAATTCAAATATTTTCTTAGAGCTCAAGTTTGACTTAAGAATTAAAGGATGAGGAGAAATTGGTACTAAAAGAATTTGAATTTGTAGTGAACATGTATGGGTGCTACTAAGAGATTTGTGGAAATGCTTGAAAGAAG